GTCCAGTGACCCTGTACAGTGTGTGTCCTTGGTTCTGGAAAACAGCCTTATAGTCAAATTAAAACAGTATCAGTATGTGAATGAGACTGTTTTTCTCTCTGAAGTCAAAACAATTTGAGCGCTCTGGGTTTTCCCAAGCGCTATGTAAATAAAGATTACTTATTCTCTTACTAATGATGACATTTTAAAACCAGAAACTAAAGAAGTTATCAAAACAACAATTATACTCAAAACAAACAACCTTTTAAACTTTAAAACATGTATTATATACTTTTGTACTGTGTGATTAATTATCTATGCATTTATCTCAGCATATATTTTACTAATTTAAAATAATTGCAGAATTTTTCAAATGAAGTCAATATGAAATGGAGCACATTTTAGAGCCAGTCTCCTCTGCTGTGTGCATCAGCAGGAGGAGCAACAAGGTCAGGCGTGTAGTCAAAACAAAAACAAAAGTCACCACTTGAATGTGAATTGGGTGAAGTTTAACTTAATAATACTAATTCCCTCTTTCTTTTTTAGACGAAGTCTATAATCAATAATAACTTTTAACACAGATTCCAATTTAAATGTTTGAAAAACGGCTTTTGTAACTAAAAATAAAAAACATAAAAACAAACACAACTCACAAACAGTTAAGAAATAAGCAACAGATTTAAAAGAATGGAATCTAGAAATATGTTAGATCTTAAAAAGAATTGCACAGCTTTAGCACTAATCTTTGGGTTTCAAAAACATACTAATTCAAAACTTCTTTTTACTAAATGGTGTTTAAAAACGTTTAACTGTGTCATAACACAATGTTCAAATGGCAAATTTCGCAAATTTAACGGAAAAACAACTATGAAAAGCCAGAAATCCTAAAAGCAGTAGGTCCCCTTTAAATCAGAGCAGAAGAGCAGAGAGAAAGCAGAGCCGCGAGGGTGGGGGCGGTTACCCTGGCAACGCAGCATGAGAGAGAGAGACGCACACACACAGACATACAGCAGTAAGAATTCCTTATCAGAATAACTTTCAAGATTACTTTGTTAAGCAAATATAACTGATGTTGTAGTTTATACTTTTGTCATTCAAGTCTAGAAATGATCAATTTCCACACTTGTAACAAAAGGCACTCTTGTCTTTAACGTTTACGCTTCTATTTACTCTGTTCACGCCAAAAAAACAAACTAAAAAAAACAAAAAACTCCCTTTATTTCTCTGTAATTTAAACCGTGATCACCGAAAATATTGCTGCTTCTTTACTTTTGTCATTTTATCAGCCTGAAATTCGTCAATTTCAAAGCTTTTGTAACAAAGGCCTCTTTAACACGTTTCCCTTTTTTAAATTGCTTTTACTTTTATACCATGGTTTCACTAAGGATCCTACACTTTATCTTCTTCTCAAAGGGATTCTAACCCCGAGACTTCTTCAAATACAATTTAGAGAGTTTTGACAGACCCAAAAAACAGACCAAAATTTAGCTAATATCCAATTATACAGACTTTATATATGAAAAGGCGTCTGCTTACCTTTATTCTTGTCAAACTGGTTCCAAGGACTGTCCGAGAGGTCTGCCAACCTCTTTTCCGCGTCTGAATATTCAATTTAAAAAACAAAAGTGACAGAGCGACAAGAAGCATGCAGGAACAGCTCTCCCAGCCTGCTGGAATCTCCTGTTCCCAGACACAGCATGCCGGTCTCTCATGCAGGGGAAAAGAGAGATAACACACACAGGACTTATTTGGGTAATGGTTAATGGTTAATTTTATCGCAGCTGCCTGCTTTTTATCTGAAAACAGGGCAGAAGCCACCTTTGTAAGTCCATCTAAAGCGGTGAGAACTATTTAACTTGAAAAATTTACAAATATTTTACAAAGGAATAAGTATACAAACCTTTTTACCACTTAAACCTACTACTCCTACTACCACCAGGTCACTACTACTACTACCACTTTTTATGTACATACATATAAATGTAATTATTGAATTTCTTACGCGAATTACTTAGACTATTTATCAAAAATAACCAGTTCTTTGAATTAACACGTTTTTTGTTTCTTCTGACGCTGAAAAAATCTCTAAAAAACAGCGCATACTACAATCGTTTTTTAAATTCTACTTCTGCCGAAAAAACCTTGAAAAACGGCTTCTATCTACTTTTACATTCTTCTCACGCCGAAAAAGCTTTATGAAACGGCGGCGATCCTTTTATAAAAAATGCGCATATATATATTTACATTTAAACAGGACATAAAAGAGCCAGCAGCCAACCACATTGACATTTTTTGATGTAAGACCAATTTAACAGATTTTTAGAAAAGGCATCTGTATTTTCCTTATTGTGAGTAGATCTACTTTGTACCTTTGTTGGTGCTGTATCCTTTACGGAGACTTCTGCAAAGCCAGAGAAGATGAAACGCTGCTCTGGAGCAAAAAATGTGTTTGAAAAAAATAAAAATAATAATTGTCTGTCTTGGGCTTTTTGTATCACGTCGGAAGGTCACCAAATTGTGAATATACCCAGACGTAAGACAAAACGAGACTTCGACTGCGTAGTTCAATAGTTTTATTGTCAGAAGGTTTGAGCGTATTCTGATCAAGCATAACGCAGCCTCCCGTCTGGCTCTAGCAGAAGTCTAGTGGGCAGGCAAAGGCTAACCCCTTATATACATTGTAAATGATTATATAAGCATGACTATGCAGAAGAGAACGTATGGTTTCAACGTACAACTGTGATATAACTGTTTTGTAATGGAGCAAACTCCAACGTACACCATCCATACTGCACATGTTTACTGTTTGTTCTGTCTTATCTGTTTCCATGCTTTTGTAAGCAGTTCAAAGTACAGTGTAAGCCTCCCAAACTCTACTGAACTTGTTTAACATGACATTTCAGCAAGCAAATAATTATTAGATATTCACATATTCCTCAACACACATTGTGGCCTGTAGAGGGCGCCCCAAAGGCCACTTCGGGAATCACTGGGCGAAACCAAAACCTTTCTTTTTTTAAGTTACCAATGTGTGCAGGGAATGTTTGATTGGTCACCTCCTCAAGGGAAGATCTTGGCTCCTTGGACTTACTGACTACTTTGGCTTAGCAGGAGTTCTCCATCAGCTTCACTCTCCCATTTTGACATTGGTGAGGTCCAGGGAGAGGTGTTGATTGTGAAATAATCAGTGTCCTTTTGGTGGACCTGGTCTGGATAGATCCATGGTCTGGACTGGTTGGATGTTGCAGCAGTGGTAGTGGGGTGGTCTTTCATCAGTGCTCAGTAGATGCATAGACTGTATATATCAACGGACAGAGTCACGCCTATCTCTGCCGTTCTAACTAATGGGCCAAAAAATGTGCTCTACTGGAGCAATCCAAAATGGCCGCGAGTGGTCCCGCCCACAAGAAAAATTTGAAAAAACGCATCTGCGCATGCGTCAGCCGGCGAGAGCTCAATTCATTTGAACGAGAGACTTCAAAAATTCACAGCGAGTAAACTAGAGTGGACCAAAAATCTACCCCCCTCAGCATTGACACACATGTGGAACGGAGCTTTGGGCCAAGAGCCAACTTTTGGACCATCCTGTAAAGACGTTTTTGAGAGGTCTGCCAATGCTATATGTTAGCATTGGCTAATTCTTCTTCTGGGTCCACCCCCATCGGCCCGGGGTGGTATTGCAAGCATGTCAGCGCACGCCATTTTGGCCACTTTTGAGCTGGGACCCGCCCCCACTGATCTAAATACAGAATCCAAAAATACATGTGAAACAAGGACTGGGACTAGGGACAGACTTATTTTTTTAAGCCAAGATGACCTTTATTTATCCCTCAGTGGGGAAATGTTGAAGTGTCATTGTTGCGCATGTCACAAGTTTAAATCTCAGAGACTGGATGTAAGTGCGACCAAATGAGAACAATAAAACCAGTAAAAAGGGGATAAAATATAATAAAATATGTACGTAAAAAAGGATCTGCCTTAAAATGTAAAACATATGAATTAAACGGCCACAGTCCGCTGGCCCTTGTTGTCTTCACCAAGCCTGGTCTTTCTCCTTCCTCTGTCCCGGGACCTGCCGGGTCCTGCTTATTTGACTGAAACCACGCTTTCTTTAAATTCCAAACATTTTCTTCTTCCGGGTGGATCATCAAGACTATTGGTCCTCCCAAATGTCAATCATCCTGGTGATACGTGTTCGTCAAATAAGACCAGAGAGTTTTGTTCAAAAAGAGGAGAGGGCTGTTCTTTCCTAGAATTTGGAAAAATCCTCCTATATTTTTATTATTCCTTTCAGCAGACATGAACTTCGTCGCATTGTCACAGAGCAGAATCTCAGAGTCCACAGCATCCCATCGATGCTGTGTCCAGACCGATCCAGCAAGGGCTGCTGTGGCTGCAGGTTTTCTATCCGAGCAGTATCACATGTGCAGCTGTAGACTCTGAAGGGTTCAATAACTTTCCTGCTGGTGGTGAAGGAAGCCGTTTCCCTGTCTCTAGAAAATAGTCAACAGCCAGAAGATATTTCAGTCCAAAATAAAAAAGGGCAAAACATATCCTAATTGTTGAACCGTAAAACAAACATTGTTTCACCAATTATTGACCTGTCTCCCTTCTGACAGGTTTCCCAAAAACAGGAAAAATATGTAAAAAATAACAACACTCTGGCCTTTTGATCAATTATTGTTTTATGAATTGTCATTATAATAGGATTACAGATTTCCAAAAAGGCTTAGACATAATTGATCATTGTATTTTAACAAACAAAATGTAAAGCGATGGTATGAGGGGAATAGCAAAGAAATGGTTAGACACAATCATTGATGGATCTTTGTCGATTTTGCTCATGACTTTAGCTCGGTCGTACAATGCAATGATTAGAAAACAATAATTTGTAAAAAATATAGTGAATTGTTTAAATTCTAAATTCAGTTGTTATTGGGTTGGTCCTGCACACTGCACACGGCAGAGGTGTAAACTTGAATATACAATACTATAAATAAATATGCTTCTGTGACTATCAGGGCTACAGACAGAGTCCTGCTGCAGAGTCCTGCTGCAGAGTCCTGCTGCAGAGTCCTGCTGCAGAGTCCTGCTGCAGAGTCCTGCTGCAGAGTCCTGCTGCAGAGTCCTGCTGCAGAGTCCTGCTGCAGAGTCCTGCTGCAGAGTCCTGCTGCGGTGCTCTGGTATGCACTTTTACTTCTAACCCATGTGTGACGTCGTCTCATCTCTTTAATGTTAATTTAATGCATTGTTCAAAACGTTTCCTGACACAAAAGATATCACATTAAACATGAAACATTTAATCACACTTGATACAAAAGTCACATGTAAAATATCTCTGGGCAGAAACTTGAGTCCAGGTTCTTCATCCGAAGTCTGAAAACGTTATTACCAAATCAGTAAGTAAGTAATCTTTATTTATATACCGCCTTTCACAGACCAGAGTCACAAAGCGGTTTACAATTGTTATTTTTGGGCATTTGTCCTCTCACTCCACACAGAGATGGGAGCAGGGTGTATCAGGTGAATGCCTGAAGTTTAAAACATGGAAAAGAGCATTTCGAGGGTAATCCAATGAAAGTGCAAATGATCTTATGATCCATATGTACATAGATTAAAAGCAACACTCGGTGCCCCCCTCCCCCCTCTCCTCTTCATCAGTGCATCTCTGCTATGACTATGTTGCTGCTGTTGGGCTGTCTCTTCTCAGGTGTGGGGGAGGAGGGGGTGAGCGTGACGCTGTACAAGTTAGTAATGAATGCTTCCCAACCACGCCGAAACGCCCGATCCAGAGCCTGCACACACACACACGGGTCAGTTTTCAATAAAACCTATAGTTAAAATTGACACTTTAGTATTTGATTTGATTTTAAAAGTAGAAAAATATTACTATAACTAAATGCTGCTTTACACTTCTCTACACTTCATCCCTGACCTATGACCTCTCTGATCCTTGGACTTCATGATCTTCAGATATTTTTTTCCAGACAGAACAGGGACAAAAGAGAGAACCACCTCTCAGTCCAAAGCTTAAATTTGGCCATTGAATAGTGTCTCACACGGTTCTTTCTAACAACTATGCAAAATATTTCTAATAAGAATAAGACCGTATGTGATCCGATTCGTTCACATCATTTTACTTTGTCAGGACTCTTTCTGTCGACACATACTACAACTGTTATTGATGAAACAAAAAGGTTGTGATGCTCAGTTGTGACGGGGCTGAGCCAGCACCACCTGACTCAGCCCCGTCACATTGCACAACTGGTTACTTCTGGCTCGGTATCAGTATGCACACAGAGGAGGGGGCGGAGCCTGGTGCTGATTGGTAGACAGCGCTGGAATGTCCTTATCCAGCTTTGTGCCTCATTCCAGAGATCAGAGGCGATACACAGGCCCCGGAATGTCCCCTGTGCTCCCATGCAGGGACGAGATGTTCCACTGCCCGTGTGTGGATCAGTCACTTGAGTCATTAGTGTGAGAGAACTTACTATATTTAAGCAATTACAGATCCAGACTTAGAGAGCAAAGGTAAAGTTACAAGACCTCTCTGAAAGTGATGCAAAGTGAGGGTTTGCATGTATTCTGAGACAGGAGAGGTCTGAGTCTGCATGTATACTGAGACAGGAGAGATCTGAGTCTGCATGTATACTGAGACAGGAGAGGTCTGAGTCTGCATGTATACTGAGACAGGAGAGATCTGAGTCTGCATGTATACTGAGACAGGAGAGGTCTGAGTCTGCATGTATACTGAGACAGGAGAGTGAGTCTGCATGTATACTGAGACAGGAGAGGTCTGAGTCTGCATGTATACTGAGACAGCAGAGGTCTGAGTCTGCATGTATACTGAGACAGGAGAGGTCTGAGTCTGCATGTATACTGAGACAGGAGAGTGAGTCTGCATGTATACTGAGACAGGAGAGTGAGTCTGCATGTATACTGAGACAGGAGAGGTCTGAGTCTGCATGTATACTGAGACAGGAGAGGTCTGAGTCTGCATGTATACTGAGACAGGAGAGGTCTGAGTCTGCATGTATACTGAGACTAGAGAGGTCTGAGCCTGCATGTATACTGAGAGAGGAGAGGTCTGAGCCTGCATGTATACTGAGAGAGGAGAGGTCTGAGCCTGCATGTATACTGAGACTAGAGAGGTCTGAGCCTGCATGTATACTGAGAGAGGAGAGATCTGGGTCTGCATGTATACTGAGACAGGAGAGGTCTGAGTCTGCATGTATACTGAGAGAGGAGAGGTCTGAGCCTGCATGTATACTGAGACAGGAGAGGTCTGAGTCTGCATGTATACTGAGACAGGAGAGGTCTGAGTCTGCATGTATACTGAGACAAGAGAGTGAGTCTGCATGTATACTGAGACAGGAGAGGTCTGTGTGAATGGCCTCATAAATAAATGAATGAACGGTGAATAACATATTTAGCAATGGTTATACTTGTCAAAAACACGTCAAAAATTAAGTTTGTTTGTCTCTAGCGGAAACACACGTGTCCTTCAAATTCACTGTGTCCTCCCTCCAACCACATGGCTTTTATCAAAGACGGGTATTGAGCTTTGACCACACATACGTCTGCTCAGTGGGTTGGGTTGGTACCGACTGAAACCCTTGTGTATGCATGCGATAGTGTGTGTGTGTGTGTGTGTGTGTGTGTGTGTGCGCTAATGGCGTCAGGAGGACTTTGAGTCACCACTGGTTAATCCTTAATCCAGACAAACATGTGGAAGGCCACCTGCAGGTGCCTCAGGAGGGGGCGGGCGAACAGTGGAATGCAGATGGAAAATGGTCAGAGTGAGAAATAACTCCATTCAAATACTTCTCTCACAAGCTTTAGGAGACTAAAAATATGTATTTATTTGTATGGATGGATGTGTTTCTGCTGCTGGACACCTGATTCTCTCCTACGGGGAATTAATGAAGAATCTATCTATCAATCTCTCAATCTAATAAATAACAGCAAAACACATCAATGAGACAAACATACGGAGGTTAACCGCACAAACTCTCCGTCAGTCTGCAGCTCTGTCACGTATTGTTAGTATTAGATAGCAATATGGCCTACGTGCAGGACTGTACAAGTCTCTGTGTGACACGTACGTCTTTCGATGTGTGACGTGACAATGACTATATATACTGTGAACTGACTTTATTCTGTCTGAGAGAAAGAAACAATTGAAACCACTGGAACTTGAGAGAAACTTAAATAAACTTCCAGAGTTTGGCGCACCACGATCCGTCTCTGTCTGCTTCATCCCTGACAGTATTTAGAATAATACACTTCGATTAAAAGCAGACAATACAATTATCAAACATTTTTTTCCTTTTCCAAACGGTACGAGTATTTTTTTATGTTTTATTTTATTTTAAATAACAGCAAGCCACTTCTATGCTGGTCGGCAAACACAATGTGTTATCATACTTCTATTTTATTATGATAGTTTTAACCGTTTTCTGTCTTATTTGTTGTAAAACTGACAAGGAAATGGCAAAGAAAAGCATAAAATCTTCAGATGCCTTTTCTTGCCGTTACATCCTCTGTTTGGCTCCAGTTTGAATCTCTGCTCTACGGTCTGTGCTCTACAGTCTCTGCTCTACGGTCTCTGCTCTACAGTCTCTGCTCCTCTTCAGTCTCTGCTCTACAGTCTCTGCTCTACGGTCTGCTCTACAGTCTGTGCTCTACAGTCTCTGCTCTTCGGTCTCTGCTCTACGGTCTCTGCTCTACGGTCTCTGCTCTACGGTCTCTGCTCTACGGTCTCTGCTCTACGGTCTCTGCTCTACGGTCTCTGCTCTTCGGTCTCTGCTCTACGGTCTCTGCTCTACAGTCTCTGCTGTACGGTCTCTGCTCTACGGTCTCTGCTCTTCGGTCTCTGCTCCTCTACAGTCTCTGCTCTACAGTCTCTGCTCTACAGTCTTTGCTCCTCTACAGTCTCTGGTCCTCTACTGTCTCTTACAGTCTCCATAGTTGGTGCCATGTTGTTAAATACTTTTGTGTGAGTCCCGTTTCTTTCATTCATTTGCGCAGCACAATTAAATGCACCATGTTTCCTAACTCTGCCTCACGTAACAAAAACAAAACTAACGATGAAACACATGCAGAGGGAAAGTGAACTCAAAAGCAGTGAGTGGCCTCTATGTCCAAATACATACTTTTCTAATCATTTTAAGCATGGCGTTTCCTTGTGCTCTTAAATGCATCTGCTGGTCTTGTCTCAGTAGCATCTCGATTACTTACTGACATGCATCAAAAACACAGTCAAAACGTTTCTCCAAACAGGTTTTTTGTTTGTTTTTTTACACCTCAATCGCAGTACACAGGTTTGTTTTAAATGAAACTTCCTAAATCAAATGAAATTGGACTTGGAGAGAGATCGGATTTCCGCTAGAACCCCTTGAGCCTCCGTGCGATACCTTGCCGTAGTGCTTGCCGCTCTTCCTCTTCAGAGCTTTGATGCCGTCTTGCTGCTCCCTCCTGTGCCTCCACTCCTCCTGGTCCTCCTGCTGCTCCTGTTGAGCTGTGTCCCTGATGAGCACGCGGTCGTCAGCCTCCTCTGGGACTGGGAAATGCACCAGGCTAGGCTCCGTCTGCAGCTGCGCCTGGAGGACCACCTGGATATCCTCTCCGGCCCCTGGGCTCTTCTCTTCTTTATCGTCCTTCCTCCGCAGACTCCTCCACCTGCTGCTGCGTCGGCTGGCCTTCCTCCTCAGTAACATCTGCCCGTCGTCCTCCGTGAACACCTCCCCGTCCTCTGCAGCTGCTGCGTGGGACGGCTTCGGCTTCAGGTCTAGTGCCGCCGTGAGCTCAACTTCATCTAGGCGGCCGTAGAACCCGCTGGACTTGTCTAAGAACTTAGGCGCGCGAATGGAGCTGCGTGCGGGTGAGGCCCTCTGGCTGATGGTCATGATGAAAGTTGGGGATGGAGAAGAATGAGGCTTTTTCACCTGGAAGAGAGAACATGGTGGTTTGCTTACTTGTGTTGCCCTTTCAGAAACACTCTACTGTACATTCAAGGCCAGGCTTAAAATGTTAGTCAGTGCATGGCTTGGGAGGTAAGATCTACCACGGCACACTGGTTGAAAAACACTGACCAAAGCACCAGCCTAGTCGCTCCTCTTCACCTGGAGTCTGTTCATTGCTATTCACCCGCTGTCCCACTGTTTGTTTCTTAGCGTGATGGTGGGACCCCTGAGTCTGGACTCTTTTTTTTGACTACTTGTGAACTGGTTGCCCCCGGTCAGGACTCATGGGCTGGACTCTCCTCCCCCCCTGAGAGCCTCTTCCGTGTTAAGGATCGAAAGCCTCAGTCCTGGATCTCCCTCATTATGGCCTTCCCCGAGGTTTCTAACATTTTTCTTTTGTTGTTTTGAGTTGGTTCTTGTCGATGCATGAGAGTTTAAAGATAATTATGATCTGGGACATTTAAGGACATTTATTTACATTTCCCAATGGACCAATGGCTTTTATGTGTTTGTTATTATAGCATTTCCTGTGTTCAAGCCATTTGATTCTCTGAACTAATATCCAGGCTGTAGGGCTGGGACTATACAGGGATTTCAATATGTTATCAGGATTTGTCAGAATACACTTCATCAGAACCCTTGTGTAATATTATCAAGCAGACAGTGTACCAACGTTTTTCTCCCATATAAAATGAAAATGAATAGCATGGACTCAGAGGCCACCAAATTTCATCTCAACCGCAGAGTACTATACGCAAATGTTCTTCTGTGGACAATAAACGGTGGGGCCAGGCTCTAGAGGACTTCTTGTTTATTCACTGAAGCTGCAGCATTTTATTGTTCAAACGCGTTTACACTATCAGCTAAACAGTGCGCATGTTTGACGTTTAATATAATAACAATGATAATACATTTTATTTCTATGGCGCCTTTCTAGGCACTCAAGGTCGCCTTACAAAGGGTACAGAGTTAAAAACAAAACGGTTAAAAGCAAAATAGTAAAAAAAAATATATATTAAAAATGACAGTGAAATGTAGTGTTATAGAGAATAGGCCAGTCTGAACAGGTGAGTTTTACGTGCGGGTTGGAATGGGGGAGATCGGGGGGCAGGGGGAGAGTGTTCAGCGAGCAGGAAGAGCGAGGAGGAGGAGCAGAGGGAGCGGGCAGGTGTAGAGATGTGAAGGAGCTCACAGAGATATGGAGGAGCGAGATTGTGAATAGCTTTGAAGCGGTGGGCACTGGATGCGGTGGGTGATGGGACGGCAGTGGAGTTGTTGTAGGACAGGGGTGATGTGGTTGATGGAGGCAGTGTGTGTGATGAGCCGTGCCCATTGGAGTTAGTGTAGAGTTTTCTGAGGGAGGCCAAACAGAAGGAAATTGCAGTAATCCAGAGGGGAAGTGACGAGACTATGAACCAGGACCGCTGTGGACTGTGGAGTGAGTGAGGGAGGGGCGGGGGCGAAAGAAAGCAGAGCGAGTGACGTTGTTTACGCGGGAGCAGAAGGAGAGAGTACTATTGAGGACCACACCCAGACTCTTGACCTGTACGGAAGGGGATATGGGGGAGCTGTGGATAGATATGGGTGGGTCTATGAACACACAAAGTCCATCTGAACACCTTCTGACTCATAGCTGTACTTTCTAGCAGCTGTTCCACTTGACATGTCACCTCAGATTATGAGAATACAATTAGCCAATCAGAGGCCTCGGTACTGGTGGAGTTTGGAGCGGTGACATCATCAGTCTGAGATTAGATCACCCATCTGCTGATTACTGTGCGTGTGTGTGGTTCCTGTTTACTGTTCCTTAAATGTGATATTTTAAAACTTGTTGGACTTTGTCAAACAGAATCAGCCCAGACTGTTGTAAATGTTCACTGTAGCGATGACAAAGACAAAACAAGTACAGGTTTTGTGTAATCAGTCCTCGACAAACCTGAGATGTAAAGAACCACTTGCCTAAAATAAGCAACAAATAATCTTAGAATTCCACAAAACATGAACTTCTCTGTTGAAATGAGGGGAAAAGACTGCTGAGGAGGACTTACTCAATTAAAAACACGTATTATTCCCCACAAGTAGATAAAGGCACACATTATTAATCCCTGTAGGGCAATCCTCTGCATTTGACCCATCCTGATGCCGCGAAGGCTTACGTCAGGAGCAGTGGTCGCCGTAGTAACAGCGCCCAGGAACCCATCTCCAGATGTTGATGCTCGGCTTGGTCAGGACTACCGGAGCATGTTTATAGTGGTAGGGGAAATCGTAGTACCCGGAGGAAACCTACACAAGCACGAGGAGAACATGCAAACTCCACTCAGATAGACCCTGTTGCGACCGGGATTCAGCCCCAGGACCTACTTGCTGAGAGGCGAGAGTGCTATCCACTCAGCCACGTGCCCTTACTGGGTCTTCAGAAAAGAGTAGATTACTGAGGTGATATTAAAGCTAAAGTGTGTAAGTTTCTCCTTTTTGAAGATTTTCATGATTCAATGAAAATGCAAACATCTAATCATTCCGTCGGATTTTTATGCCACAAACACCCAAAATAAAACATGACCATGACAGAAGTGGGAAGTCTGTCTAAAACGTTGCGTGTCTAAATCTGGGATACCAAACTCAGCTTAACTTTTGATTCATAAATAACACACGTTTGTCTTTACACAAAACATCTAAAAAGAAAATAAGTTATTTTTCATATAAGAAAGAAACCGGTGAGTTACTGTTTGACCCTTTAGGATGAGAGCCTGAGGCTGTGGGTCTGTGTTGGTGCTGAACATTATTGTCCCGAGAACTTAATGTGTTTTTGTTCTGATCCTCATTTCTACGAGTATCTAGCTCAAGTATCGGCGTCATTTTTTTAGTAGTAGTTGGTAGTAGTAGTACTATTAGTATTGTTGTTCATATTTGAGCAGTTGTTAGTGTTAATATTGACATTAGTATCATCAGTGCTATTATTAATATGATGTAGATTATTATTATGGTCTGTTCTTACTTCACACATGCCACAACAATCTGACTCATTCCTCTTTGAACTGCTTGTCTTGTGATTTATTGTATGTTGTTTTTGTTGTCACTGATGTCTGTGTCTAATATCACTGTTATTGTAACTCACAATAAAAAGTATTGGCGTCATTATTCATCTTTGTCCTCTTCTATTCAATCTGGAAAAACTGGGAGATAAGCTGAAGGTTATTGTGCGTGAGATATGTTATTGTGCACTGGCTCATTTCAAGGGTGGTTCTCTTTTTTTACTTTTTTCCGTCTGAAAAAGCTGATCTAAAGATGTGACAGAGGCCAAAAGTACAACTGGAACTAGTCACATGTTCCAATGTTGTGGTTTTAAAGTCAGGTACCCCCAGACCGTATAAAGCCGTGTAAAAGCACTAACATGACTTTAACAAAATGGTATGGCTTAAGCATTTGGAATTATACATATTTTGTCCAAAGATATGTCATTACTGTCCAAAAAGAGCTTACATTCATGATTTCAATCTCCCATGTTCTCTTTGAAGGTCTCCCACCTCTGCTGCTTTAAGAGTAAGTTCATAATCTAACATAAGTAACATGTTATAGACTCATTCAATCCAGTCTAGGATTCTTACCTTGTCCCGGGACCTTCTCTCTTCACGCAGCCTGAGTGTGTGTGTGTGGAGTCCTCCTCTCCTGGACACACTCATACCTACAGAGAGAACGCCCACTGTGCCATAGCTCCGCCCACAACCTCACTCACACACACAAAGGACACACTTCCATTCACCTCCCAGAGCTCGCACTACCCAATGTCACTTTACTGTCAGAGGGGGCAAAAGTACTTGTCTAGAGTACCTCCGTAAAAGTTGATATTTGTGTCGGCTTTAAATAAGGAGAAACTGAATGGAAAAATGAAAATAGATTCTTAAAAAGACATTTAGTAGTTATTATTTGACTTCTTAAATGATAGATCTTGTTTGATGTGTGTATAACCTATTTTGATATTTCATAACGCTGAGGTTAAAGTTAAACTCATCGTTCCAACAATGCACAAGGCCGCGTTTTTCCACTGGAAGGTTTTTCTTATCTGGAGGCCGAGCTACTGGCACCGTCTGGCAATGTCTATCCTATAATATCACATGCATTCTGTAAAATCTTTGATCGTGTCTCGTCTCAACCATCGACAATAAAACATGTCTTTTGTCTGTTTGACACGACCCAGACTTTGTCATTTTCTTATTTCTGTTATGTGCACAACTTTGACATTAACATCTCCCCCCTGGAGACAAATAAAGGTTTATCTTATCTAACATTAATAGAATAGTACAGTATTTGTGGACAGAACACTAATTAAAATACCAGTCCATTCAAGGGTTAAAAAGAATGGAATAGGCCTTTCTGATGTGATGTTAAAACAAAACTGGGATTCCAAAGAGCTAGTGCCAAGCCTTTTGTTTGTCCAATTAAAACAATGCCCTGTGCTCACTGGTGTGTGCTCGCACCATGGACGTTTGCCCACCACAGGACGTCCCAAATCCTGCGCAGTATGTTCACCATTTGTGGTTCTTCAATCAAATCAATCTGAAATGTTCATTTCAGAACATGGACCAGAACATTTTGCTTACAGCCCTGTTGAAGCTGTGACCTGGGACTGAACAGCTGTAACTGGATAATGGACGTTAGAACCATGGGTTAGAACCAACCGCTCTCAGTGTGAGGGCAGCAGCACATACCACCACCACCGGCTGTATTCCCCCTCCCCAGGGGTGTGTGCTTTGTCCACTGCTCTACACATTTTATGCACCCGCCCTCTTCCCCAAAAATCACATCAAATTTGCAGATGACACAATTTTGCTCATACCCCCTGTATGCAGTCTCCTCCCCATGAGGCTGCACACAGGGAGGAGTCTCCCCATGAGACTGCACACAGGGAGGAGTCTCCCCATGAGGCTGCACACAGGGAGGAGTCTCCCCATGAGACTGCACACAGGGAGGAGTCTCCTCATGAGGCTGCATACAGGGAGGAGTCTCCCCATGAGACTGCACACAGGGAGGAGTCTCCTCATGAGGCTGCATACAGGGAGGAGTCTCCTCATGAGGCTGCACACAGGGAGGAGTCTCCCCATGAGACTGCACACAGGGAGGAGTCTCCTCATGAGGCTGCATACAGGGAGGAGTCTCCTCATGAGGCTGCATACAGGGAGGAGTCTCCCCATGAGACTGCACACAGGGAGGAGTCTCCTCATGAGGCTGCATACAGGGAGGAGTCTCCTCATGAGGCTGCATACAGGGAGGAGTCTCCATGAGACTGCATACAGGGAGGAGTCTCCTCATGAGGCTGCATACAGGGAGGAGTCTCCATGAGACTGCATACAGGGAGGAGTCTCCCCATGAGACTGCATACAGGGAGGAGTCTCCTCATGAGGCTGCATACAGGGAGGAGTCTCCTCATGAGGCTGCATACAGGGAGGAATCTCCCCATGAGGCTGCACACAGGGAGGAGTCTCCTCATGAGACTGCATACAGGGAGGAGGCTCCCCATGAGACTGCACACAGGGAGGAGTCTCCTCATGAGGCTGCATACAGGGAGGAGTCTCCTCATGAGGCTGCATACAGGGAGGAGTCTCCTCATGAGGCTGCACACAGGGAGGAGTCTCCTCATGAGACTGCACACAGGGAGGAGGCTCCCCATGAGACTGCACACAGGGAGGAGTCTCCTCATGAGGCTGCATACAGGGAGGAGTCTCCTCATGAGGCTGCATACAGGGAGGAGTCTCCATGAGACTGCATACAGGGAGGAGTCTCCTCATGAGGCTGCATACAGGGAGGAGTCTCCTCATGAGACTGCACACAGGGAGGAGTCTCCTCATGAGACTGCATACAGGGAGGAGTCTCCTCATGAGACTGCACACAGGGAAGAGTCTCCTCATGAGGCTGCACACAGGGAGGAGTCTCCTCATGAGACTGCATACAGGGAGGAGTCTCCATGAGGCTGCACACAGGGAGGAGTCTCCTCATGAGACTGCATACAGGGAGGAGTCTCCTCATGAGACTGCATACAGGATGGAGTCTCCTCATGAAAATATGTTTATACCTTGTTCAGATGACAGTGAAACCTCCTACAGTTTCCAGCTAAGACTGCTGTCCGCTGCTGTGAAAGGTCATTCTCCTACGTCATCGCCGCCATTTTGTCTTCCCCTAGCGTTTGTTAAAAGGTGCCACTTCAAAGCCGTTTTTTTTTTACATAATTCATCTGAACATGTCAAAATTAACACCCAAAATATTATAAACACATATTGTAGTTATATATTCTGGATAGCAGCATATTAAATTCTAGTACTACTTTAAGACATATCAGCTTCACCTCGAAGCACTGGGGATTCATCACACTCCAAAACAAACCGTGAAAGGTTTAAAAAAAAAACTGAAGCAGAACAACTAGAGCGGATACAAACATAAAATAAACAAATGGGTTTGGCGTAATGAGTTTCACTTATGCAGCAATTGAAACTCTTGACGTCGCTGAGTGATCCCACTGCAGCGGAGACACGGACACTGAGAGACCGAGGGAGAGGAAGGTTCCTGTAAAAGTCCCACCTGCTCCTTTTACCAGGAACTCCTGCGGTGGAAATGCGGCTCATGAGACTGCATACAGGGAAGACTCTCCCTTGGAGACATAACCCAAAGAAATATCCAAAGTTGCGTAAAACACAGATGCTCTGCTTATGTTTCTGAATTTGGCCCTGACGCAACTGGCCGTGTGTGTGTTTGCTGCAGCAACAGTGTGTCCAGGCGGGACAGAGGAAGTGTGAGCTCAGGCCTGTCCTGTGGTCAGCTCCACACACAGCCACATGAGGCCACACCTGCCCCAGCTGAGGTCCTGGTGTCGGGCAAGTGTGAACACGTTCTGCCAAACACTCAAACACACAGCGGAAAATCAACCTCCATCACGTTTATCTGAGGGAAGTAGAGCTGAGAATGTAATATATTTATTATGTGACATATACTTGTACTCTATAACATGACTAAATGACTTCTAAAATAAATACCCTTTGTTAGTTATTACTTGCGCCGACACGCAGCAGAGGGGTGAGGCGTCCTGACCATGATGTGAATACATCTATTGGGACTGTGGGTGAGTAGCAATGAACAGACTAGAGGTGACGTCACAATGACGAGAGAGGGAGGGAGGACAGTCTCCATCTGCAATCCAAGTAAAAAAATCAATGTTTTTCATTCGTTGTTCTGTCGACCTTCCTTAGCCTCACCTATCGAGCCATATGCAAAATGAAGAGTTTCACTTTTTAAGCCTGGCCTTGAATGTAGAGACTGTTTGCCTCCTTGACGTGGAAGCTAATTCCACAGTATAAAAGCTCGGGGGCTGAACCCTCTGCCTCCTGCTGTGCTCTAGGAACCACCAGACGTTTGGAAAGTGAAGTGAGACTCCGACTGAACTCCAAGGAACATGGAGGGGCCCAGACCATTTATGGCTTTGAATGTCAAAAAAAGAGGATTTTAAATTTGCTCTATATTCCACTGTACGCCAGTGTAGTGATTTTAACATCAGAGTTATGTGTTCCCTCCTTTTGGTGCCAGTTCAGGATTTAGAGCACACTGTGGAGACTTTGAGGGGACAAATGCGTGGATCATTTTTAGGAAGGACATTGATTTTGGTGATGTGGCACAGATGGAAACACAGATTGTGGGACGTACCCCACAGACCTGGAGCCCTCGGGAAGGATGGTTCAGGGGACATATTTCTCAACACAGAAAATAAAGTATACTTTTATCTGACCCTTGTTATGCAGTATCATTGCACATTCTTTCTTTTGAAATTAAAACGAATTTAGAGGAAAACTTTTGTTTTAAATGGAAAAAAACTGATGATGTAATACCATGACTAAGACAGGAGTTTTTGACACAGGGGGCAGAGGTATGTGATTGAGACTAAGTTCAATCACATAACTGCACCACATGGTCTGTTTTTGATGGGAAAAAAAATTCAACCTGAGATAACATCGACAGAGAACTTTTCCATATTATGTCTTCTTCATTATAGGAGCGACCTGGGATAAGGAAAGCGTCTTGGATTGAGTGCGGTGTTGACCATCAGCCTCATTCCTGTGAACATTGATCATTCATCTTTGTTGACCAATGACTGATTGATTTTCTAATCTGCTCAAGGAACGCTGACAATTGTGTGAAGTCTTGCGACCTGCGAAATATCTGGATTGCATGACAGGTGAATGGTGACTGAGGGCATGTACAGTCAGTGGGGTGTTGGGGCTCAGCCGGGCCCCGGGGCCTCCAGAGCAGCTGTGCTCCTGAAGCTGACTCACGGATCACTGTTCTGAGATCACACTGAAAACCAACAAAATGAAAGGTTTTTACTGCCAGCTTCATGCGAGAGGGTTACACCGGCTGGGACAAGTCAAGACGCGTCACTGCAGATCATTTAGACCAGGGGTGTCCAAACATTTTATTAAGATGAACCCAGACTGACTGGATTTGGGCTGCCAGAATCTCTTTGAGGCCGATCCATAGTCCTGCTCCATGGACTCTCCAAACTCCTCCCAGTCTTGGGGTTTTGGCTCTGCAATAACTCAGGCAGCAGTAAGTATGGCCGGCTGGTGGTGGACAGGGGCCTCAGGAGGACCCATCTTGGCTCAATAGGGCTCCTTCAACGTTACAGAATCCTTTACTACCAGAGTCCACCACAGCTACTATCTGCATCTGTAAAAGACTCAATGTCCTCCAGGACCTGGGAGAAGCTCTCCTGGAGATGTGAGCTAAAAATCTGTCTTACATCCGAGACACGCAGCTAAAGCCTGGTTCACACGGCAGGATATTTAGGCCGATTTAGACCCAATTTACCCCTTACGACAATCTTAAGAAACGCTCCGATTTCCGTAACAAAATCTTACAGATTATCCTGCCGTGTGTGGTGTGTTAAGACTGCACTCGTCGCTCGGAAGGACATCGGGACTGCTCCCGATCTCAAATCGGGGATATCCAACATGTTGGATTGTTTTGGCCCGATTTCTTGTCGTGTGTGGTGTCCTCCGAGGACAAGCGAGCGCGTTGCCATGACTACGGCGTGTAGCCAATAAGAAGACGAGGTGACAAGCCGGTGAGGAAACACCGGAAAAAAACCAAAACACAGCCTTTTCTTTGGATTACGTGTCTTCTCTGTTAACAACAAACTGCACACTAGTGATGGGTAAATGAAACCTCACGTATCGTTTCGGCACATCCAACAAACTGTGTTGATACTGTGCCGCAACAGTGTTGCTTGTGCTGCTCTATACTGACACCTGGTGGATCTGATAAATCATTGCATCCAACTCACTGATTCAATGAGCTTTACATACTTGTCTGCACACAATATTACGTAACTGCATTGTCTGTGTTATTTTATTTTATGTGAAAATTAAAGTGATAGTTGTGAATGTATTCATTAAGCAAAATGTCATTGAGTGATGTTTTTTTTTTGTTTCAAAACAATAAGCATGTCCAAAGTGCACTGTAAACCCTGGCAACTAAAGTATACTTGAAAAAAAACCTTTGACATTTTCTGCACTTCAATTTCTCAAAATTATTCTTCAAGACTGATGTCAACATAAACCTTTGAGGTCCGACTGGGATTCGTACCCAGTTCTCTCAAACGCGAGGCGAGAGCGCTATCCACTCATCCACCATGCCTAACTAGATTTTGCGTTTCAAACTAAATCTGGAGTGTAGATAAAGCGTGAAATGTTAAATACAAACATTGCCTTATTTGCTGTTATTTGCAGTATCACACTGCAGAATACTTTCTTTTAGTGGCAGGTTCCATTTTTTTATGCTGTAAAATGGGATGCTTTTCCTTATTGAAAGGGTTATTTTCTTTTTCTGAGAGCGGTTCATACCGGTGACACTTGCAGATGCGGAACCTTTTAAACACAGTTTGCCGTGTCGGTGACAAGCGACACTGCGGCTGTATTGGTCACGTGGCTTTTTCATAAAGCGACACGCGCGCCGATACGAGGTTTCGCTAAACGAACTCGGCACATGCGCCGGTGTATCAGTGTTGCTGGACCCATCACTACTGCACACTATCGCCACTGCATCCTCTTCGTCCGCCAGAGTTTCGTTCGGGCCTGAAAAATCAAGCCCGACCCGGCCCGAGCCCGCTAATACTAAGCCCGAGCCCGTATAAGCCCGACCAATTAAGGTTGTATAATAGGCCCGAGCCCAACAGAAGCCCGACACATCTGATTTCCCTTCTTGTACGCACTCACCTTCCAATTGCAAGTTTAGCCACTTCTGAATGTGTTTTGTACGTCCACCTGATCCATTTCTGTTATGTTCCGTGTGTTCGCTGTTGACCGTAGCATTCAACAGGAAAAACAGGGATGATGCGTTCACGGCTTGCTGCGGCTGTAGGACACGCCGGTTACGGTGATAAATATATCAACTTTTTTAATAACTTGTTGTCAAGTCAACGGACATTATTATTAATAAATACATATATGCATATCATTATGTATGAAAATCATAAATAATAAAAAATATTGATTAAAAAAAATAAAAAAGGAAAAATAAAAAGGAGCCCGAGCCCGACTGCTGAGCGCTGAAGTGAGGCCCAAGCCCGGCCCGTACTCGGGTCGGGCTCGGGCCTGCTCGGGCTCGGGCTGAAAAGCGAAACTCTAGTGTGGGGTCTAACACGGAGAAAAATCGGCCGACAATTTTAAAATCGTCTCGTGTGAACCAGGCTTAAAGCTCAAACCACAGGACAAAAAGGTCAATCAGGAACTCTGACCGCAGGTGTCCTGGTGCGAAGTGGAACGACACCTCTGTGCTCATGGATTTGTTGTGGACAAACTGTCACTGGAGGGTTTCCACAGCTGCCTTGTGCATGAAATGTGAATCAGGTCTATTTGACTAATGCAAGGACTGCTGCTTACACAAGCCTAAATACTACTGTTCAAGAAGAAAAGATTATGTCATGTTTGGAAAAGGCAAAGAGAGGAAGACACGATACATTTTTTTATTTTTAACACTCAGATACACATTGAAGCGTTTTGGATAAAAATAAGATTGTAACAGATTGTGGAGGATATTCATTGGTGATCCCAAATAGTTTTGTTTCTTACTCTTTCATACTCTCTGAATTCTCCATGAATGCCCAGTTTGCTCTTACTAGAGTGCATCCAGGATTGGTTCAGTCCTCGTTCTACAGTCTGAGAGTGGATCTACAGCCTGTTACTCTGGTAGCCGCCTCCCTGAGGTTCCCCAGAGTGTTTTAAGTCGTTCCTGCAGCAAGTTCTAAAGACAGTGATGACCGAGGACATTTAAGGACATGTGCTCATCCAGCTCCAACGTGTAAATTTTGCCTCCTTGTGAGATAAATAAAGAATATCTAATCTTATTGTTGATTTTCCTAGGTTCAAAGTGTTTGTTTTTCTAATCTGCTCTTGGTGAATCCACAACTTTGTAAAGTCCTCCGAGACCACTGCTGGTTTAGGGCTGTTAAAAAAAAAAATACATTATTATGATTCACTTAAAGTTTTGTTAAAATAATGTTCTGGGCAACCACAGCATACATGATTTGAAAGATGGCATTTTATTGATTCTAAACATTGAACACAAAATGGCCATTAGGTACCATTTCATTTATAAATAATTGGTCAGTCTTCTATGACAGGCCCATTTACCTTTGGTCCAACCTGCACTCAGGAATAATCAAATGATAAATAAAAAATATCCTTTGGTTAAAAAACCTCCATAAATGTTGAAAAATAAATAATAAACAGGTACACGAGATTTCAAAAGTTCAGCAAGAACTTCAGGATTCAGAGACGTTGACAGTAAACAGAACACAAGCTACATTCACTCTGGGGGAAAAAAACTTTTCATCCAAGTTTTTCACAACTCCTGATATTTCAAGTCCAAGTTAACCTTCCAAAGCTCAGATGGACGCATCAAGAATCATGTTGTAATGAAGAGCAGAACTTGGATGATAAGTATATTTACAAACATGATTATAAACGTATGACCTAAACAAAACCTAAAGTTAAAAGGTTGATAAAAGCAAGCCCCGGCGATCCAAGATGGCGCCCTATTCAAATGAATGGTTGTGCTCAGTGGCGCTTTGTGACGGCATGGGGGCTGAAAGATTAGCGGAAGTTGCCTGAAACTCGCAAAGATCTATGGGAAACTCGCCTGTATTTGGGCATAGTCTGGTCCTCCCGGTTCTGCGCAGTGGATGATCTCCCATAATGCGTTGCGCCAAACACGCGTGTGTGGGTCTCACACCGGGTCTCACGCACGTGCACAGAGGGGCTCGGCCGCGCTCTGACCAATCAGAGCAGTTCCTCAAAGCGGGAGTTAGAGCGAGAGCCAGAGGAGCAGAGTTTGTGGCACTAAAGTGTGGATTTAAACAAAACCAAAGGATTTAAGAAGAAAAAAAGTTCAGGATGACAAGGGACACTAAAATCCCCACAAAATCCGATCTTTATGAAAGCTGTAGGTTCTCTGTCAGCTGAGGTTGAGCTGTTTTAATATGCATTGAGTTCTATGGGGAAAATTTCTGGGTGGCCCACGTGAATTTAGTCTGGTTCAGTCTGCAGTACCGCGAGAATCCCCTGAGCACGTGAGTTATTCAGCTACAAGCTAGTAATACCCTATCCAGTTAATATAATACATCCATGGATAAAAGTCACTGAGGAGGTACAGTATGTTGCACGGTCTTCTGTAAGAAAGACCGAACAAAAATGCAGCTTCAAAAACATGCTTCGAAATGCTGGAAACCCGGCTGGTCTTTTCTTACGCCCTCTACATCTGACCACATCAGTCGGGGTGAAGACCAGCAGGTGCCCTCAAGTGCATGTGGTAAGAAACAGCCAGATAACGTCAATAACCCGTCCCTGAACAGAGACTAAATATAATAATTCTCTAGGCAAAACAATAAAGAAATGTATTTTGTTGTTAACTCATTGACTGCCAGCCGTTTCTGATGATTTCACTGACTTTCAAGACCCACAGAATATTATGTGCTACGACTATGTGAAATATGAAACCAGATTCTGAAACACTGAACTGCCTACTTTTATCAGCAAAAATAAGTTTGTTTTTAGCTAGTTTTGTTCTCCTGTAATCCCCAGTCCAATAGAGGGAGGTTTGACAGAAATCACCGGTCTCAGACAAATACGTGAATGGCAGTTGATGAGTTAACATGGGCAAAGATAAGTTTATGTCTGGGGCTGTTGTGAGCAGTTTGATTGTTTAGCGTAGTGCGTGTCGTCTGCACATGCTCAGACTGGCGCAGGCTCAAACCTCCACCCTGGGGTCAGAGCCCTGGCCTTGTGCCTGCAGGACGTCCTCCCTCTTCAGTTTGGGCTTCTCCGTGCGCGTGTGCCACACCAGGACCTGAGGAGGAGCACAGCGATGTTAAAAGTGGGAGGTCCTGATCAGCTTCTGTCTCCTCCCTTTGAGCTTTGTATAAAAATCTGCTTGGAACATGAGTATATGTCCAAGCGCTCAATAAACTAAACTAAACTAAAGTGTAGTTCTGGCTATAAACCAAGTATAGCACCTGGACAGTTTAAAGGGGACCTGCTGAATGGACTACCTACATCAGGGGTATTCGACCGAGTGGCTGCAGGTTTTTATTCCAGCCAAGCAGGAGCCCACAGACTCCTCTCATTCACTCAAGTCTTCAGGTTAAGACTGGACTCACTTGAGGAAATGGATGGCCTTGTGTGCTCCTGCTTGATTTGAATGAAAACCTGCAGTCGGCCCTTTGATGGACAGAGTTTAATAAACCGTAAATTAGCCGCTACTTTTTGCGGCTTACGCAGTGATGTGGCTAATATGTGTATTTTTATTGTAGTAGAGCTGGGTTCTTCATGGACTCATAATAATTCCCTTCCACTACCAGTTCATGACAGATGTAATGACATTCTGCCTCAGACTGTTTTGAAATGTCCCTCATCTGTAACAAACAATAGTTTTGGTCTGAGTCTAAACAGAAAGACAGAATGTTAATAATGTTATTGCCATTTTATGTGGATTTATTGTTATAATAAACAAATACTGTACATATGTACACTATGTTGGCATTTATCTTTCCATTCAAACAACCATTTACAGAAAAAATATGGCATCATTTTGCCGATAATTTGAAATGCAATTAATTACGATTAATTAATTTTTAAGCTGTAATTAAGGCAATTAAAAAATGTAATCGTTTGACAGCCCTAATAATAATGCATCGGTTTTATACAGCGCTTTTCTGGACACTCAAAGACGCTTCACATGTCGTTATTCATTCACTCCAAACACAGTGGTGATAAACTACTATCGAGGCAACCAGTCTGTGCCATCGGCCCCTCCGACCACCACCAACCATTCACACACACACACACCAGACTCATTCTAGGCAACGGGGGTGAAGTGTCTTGCCTAAGGACACAACGGCAGTTTGGCACTTTACAGCACCTGGCACCTGATGTTTCCATCACAGAACTAACCAGGCCCTGCCCTGCTTTCTGACGGGATCTGGCTTTCATATGCAAGTATGGTAGTGTCTTGCCCAAGGACAAGTCGACAGCAGGGAGTCGGTGGAGAAGGTCTCAACGGTGGGCTCGAACCCACAAATTTCCGGCCAAAAAACCAACTGAGCCACTGTCGCCTTATTATTTTGACTTCATCAAGTTTGAGTAGCTTCAGGAAACTGGTCTATTGTCAAAATAGACTGGTGTGAATGAGTAGCACTGTTAGACACCTACTCATCATGTTGTGACCAGTTAAAACCAGCGCGGCCTTTATGTGAACAACAATACTTTCTTTTCACATGTAGGTTTTCGGCTTCAGTCCAGCTGCAGAACACCACAGCACAAGGGCTTAAAAACACTTAAAACAACTGGGAAGAGTCCACGGACCAGCACATTTCCAATATATCCTCTAGCTCCAGTATGTCCAATTGGAATCTTCGGCCATGAACACTTCTCTTTCTCTGTAACTGTGTTTCGCAGTTTCCATCCATCCATCCATCCATTTTCTACCCTTTAATCCATTTCTGGGTCAGGGGGGTGGCAATCAGAGATGCCACCCAAGTCTCATAGCACCTGCCCCTCACTGACCCTCTGCAGGTGGTGAGTCCACAGGAGGACGGCTGCTCTCTGAGTGTGAGCATAGCCTTGATCTTTCAGTGGGGGCTTTGGGCAAAGTGGGGTTAAGTGTCTTGCCCAAGGACACAACGACAGCAGTCATCAGTGGGAGTTGTTTAGCAGTTTATTTTAATAATCCAGTTATGAGCCCTTACATCTGATTGAATTTGTATTTAGCTTGTTAGTGGGACTTTGGTTGCTAGGCCGTCGGTTCCTAAATCCCTCGGCTCCAGATTCCAAAGAGCCTGTGTTTGAGTAAGCTCTGATCGGCTTTAGCATTAGCATTAGCATTAACCAAACACTGGTGACGTCACGCTCGGTTACTCCTTTATTCTACAATCTATGTAGCAATCACTGACTCTCTCCAGAACCTTGTAGTTTGCTGAGCATCACACATGGGTCTGGGATTTCTCAATAGGACAGGTAATTTCAGAAGGTGGGGCCTTGTAAAAATAATATATATTTATTTTTATGTGATTGGATAAACCACTTCTACTTCAACCACTCACATCAAAGCACACGGGTCCTCGCTGCGCAGTGTGATTGACAGGAGCCGTTACTTAAAGCTGCACTAACAGACTTTGAGAAATTTTCGAATGAGAACGATGAGCTCTCTCTCTCTCTGCTCACCCGCCCCGCACAGAGCTTTTGCCGCCCCACTAGAGTCAGCCTCTGCTCATGCTAACTGTATACAGAGCTCACGTCTCACAATATGGATCGCACATTTGAACGTGGATGACGTGACCATAGAATGATAGAACCAGGAAGCGCGGAGGAACGAGACTTTCTTTTGGATGGCTGTTTCGCAGTGTAAGCAGTAACCGGTAACGAAGACACTGGAAGCTTCAGGTTAGCTCCGCCGCTTGTTTACTGTCTGTGCTAACCAGAGACCTGTGGCTTTTCTCAAGAAAGTGGGGGCCAGTGGTCCGCTGTGATTGATCACAGTCGGGACCCGAAACACACTCTCTTCCTTGTTTCACCAAAACTCGATCTAAAATAAAATGACGCGGCAGCACAAATCATATATCCCAATGCATTGCATGGAGATGGATTGAATTTTCGTAATGAATACAACAATAAAGTCAGTTAGTGCAGCTTTAAACCAAACTTTAACCAAAACTTTTACTCTTAAAACCCACATATGCATTAAAAGTGACATTCGTGTCTTAATTTGTTTGTATTAAAACTTTTTAAACAAATCACGGACTTTATGTCGGCCATCTTGGTTTGCTTCGGTTGCCGTGAGACCATGGATCTATTATAAGGGTTAGGGTTGGAGCTGAAACACTCATGTGCTCGGTGGATTCTCGCGGTACTGCAGACTAAACCAGACTAAATTCACGTGAGCTACCCAGAAATTTGCATTGCCCTCGATCCCAGAACCTTGTGGTGGAGCTCAGCAATCTACAATCACAAAGCCGGACCATCCTCCCGTAGAGCCGTACCTTGGTGCAGTTGTCTGCTCTGGGCTCCAGCTCGTCCACAGTGACCAGCCCCTGGAGGAGGCTGCTCTCCAGGAAGCCCTGTGCCGCGTCGCCATGGAAACGGGCCTCCGGACGCTCCAGCAGCAGGCGCAAGGACACAGCGAAGCCCGCCATGTCCACAGGGAAGGGCCGCGAGGGTCTCCAGCCCGTGTGGAAGCCGACCACCTGCACATGGACAAAGAGCACGTACATGATTAAGATAAAGAGGCATTAGCCTGACTCTCGCCAGACCCTTGTAGTTCGCTGCACTTCAAACATGCGTCTGGGCCTCCTCCATAGCAGTTGGATTTCAGAGGGCGGGGCCTTCTAAAAAAAATCCTTGTATGTGAGTGGATAAACCACTTGTCTGTTATCTTGAATTATGTATTCCTTCAACCACTCACATGGGTTGCAAAATGCCGGGGGAGAAAAATTCTCCTCTCTCTCTCTCTCCTCTCTCTCTCTCTCTCTCTCTCTCTCTCTCTCTCTCTCTCTCTCTCTCTCTCTCTCTCTCTCTCTCTCTCTCTCTCTCTCTCTCTCTCTCTCTCTCTCTCTCTCTCTCTCTCTCTCTCTCTCTCTCTCTCCTCATCTCTCTCTCTCTCTCTCTCTCTCTCTCTCTCTCTCTCTCTCTCTCTCTCTCTCCTCTCTCTCTCTCTCTCTCTCTCTCTCTCTCTCTCTCTCTCTCTCTCTCTCTCTCTCTCTCTCTCTCTCTCTCTCTCTCCTCTCTCTCTCTCTCTCTCTCTCTCTCTCTCTCTCTCTCTCCTCCTCTCTCTGACCAATGGCTTTTCATTCATTGCATTTCTTGTGTCTGAACTGTTTGAGAACTAGTGTTGTTATTTACAGAACAAAAAAATGAATTCACTTGAGTTCTGGTGCTGTGTGAGATCCACTGCAGTAAACATTACCTGTCCTCCCTGCACCACTGGGCTCTCGTACTTCATGGCCCCCACCAGCCCCACAGGCCACACGGACACCTTCTGAGTGCTCCTCATCTGTCACAGGTCAGACACACCATCACATACACGGAATCACATACGCGTAATCACATACGCGTAATCACATACACGTAATCACATACACGTAATCACATACACGTAATCACATACACGTAATCACATACACGTAATCACATACACGGAATCACATACACGGAATCACATACACGGAATCACATACACGGAATCACATACACGGAATCACATACACGGAATCACATACACGGAATCACATACACGGAATCACATACACGGAATCACATATATTTTACTTGTTTTTACTTTATAAATACAAAAGTGAAAAGTGTGGTGTGAAAAAGTATCTACTTTATGTTTTGCCTTTTGCGCCAAGTGCAGCTGCACGTTTCTTAAGGTTCTTAATGTCTCCACCAGCCTTGCACATCTTGACACAGGAATTTTGCCCATTCTTCTTTTTTGCAAAACAGCTCAAGCTCTGTTAGATTAGATTGTGAGCGCAGTGTTCAGACCTTTCCAAAGATTCTTAATTAGATTTAGGCCCTTCTAAGACATGGATATTTTTTGGTTATCAAAGATGCCGTTGTTGCCCTGGCTTTATGTTGTCATTGTGTCCAACAAGTTTTCATCCAAGAATTGCCCTGTGTAGCAATTCTTATGCAACATGCAACCATAGCATGTTGCATATGATGTTTATTTTCAGTTATGTTTCTGCAAATTGTGCTGGTACCTCCTGGAACAGCTGTAGGCTGTAGGTGTTGTCATCATCAGCAAAGTAGACTACACCCTGCTCACTGGCTCCCCCAGTGGACGGCCTGTCCTCCCGCAGCCAGCGCAGGCCCTCGTTCCTCTGCTCCACCCCGCGAGGCTTCAGCCAGTTTGGCTCTCCCTGTGGAAGAGTCAGTCACATGTTCTCATAACAATGTGCTTCAACAATTCAACCCAGTTATTTGCCCTTCTTTAGGTAAAATGGCCCTGACCTGTGGAGTCCCACAGGGGTCGATCCTGGGACCTCTTCTGTTCAATCTCTACATGCTGCCGTTAGGTCAGTTAATACGCAGAAACAAAGTTTCCTATCATAACTATGCAGACGACACTCAGAAATATGTCTCACTGACTGCAGGAGAACATGGACCAGTGGACTCACTCCTTCATTGTATCCAACAGATCAGTGAGTGGATGCAAAACAACTTCCTTCAGCTAAACGCAGACAAAACTGAAATGATTGTCTTTGGTCCCCAGAAACAAATAGAGAGCGTCATCTGTCATCTCCAGTCTCTCTCCCTAAAACCTTCAAACAAGGTCAGAAATCTAGGGGTAATACTGGACTCAGACTTAAATTTTAATAGCCACATCAAATCAGTAACATCAGCAGCTTTTTACCATCTAAAAAACATTGCCAGGATCAAAAACATAGTGTCTAAAGCAGACTTGGAGATTCTTATCCATGCATTTGTCTCCAGTAGGTTAGACTACTGCAATGGCCTGCTCACAGGTCTGTCCAAACAGGCTGTAAAACAGCTGCAGTACATTCAAAATGCAGCAGCTCGAGTCCTGACTAGAACCAGGAAGTACAACCACATTAGTCCAGTCCTCAGGTCTCTGCACTGGCTTCCTGTGGCTCAAAGAATAGACTTTAAAACAGCTCTGCTTGTGTACAAGTCTCTCCATGGCCTCGCACCAAAATATATTAGTGACATGTTAGTCCCATATGAACCAGCCCGGACTCTGAGGAGCACAGGGACTGGACTCCTGTTAGTGCCCAGAGTCAGAACTAAACATGGGGAGGCTGCTTTTCAGATTCATGCTGCTAAAATCTGGAACAGTCTTCCTGAAGATGTGAGACAGGCCTCCTCTCTGCATACAACTGAGGGATTTTATATTTTTATCTTTCTTTTTAATGTTCTGTGATTATTTATGATTTTAATGCTTTCTTGTTTTGTTCAGCACTTTGAATTACCTTGTGTATGAATCGTGCTATATAAATAAACTTGCCTTGCCTCGCCTAAATTGTAAATTAGGATGACTATAGGAAGTATAAGGGCGACAATGGCTCAGTTGGTAGAGCATTGGCCTTAGAGCCTGAAGGTTGTGGGCCCACCATAAGACCTACTTCACGACTCCCACTGATGACTGCTGTCGTTGTGTCCTTGGGCAAGTCACTTAACCCCACTTTGCCTGTAGCCCCCACTGAAAGATCTCAGCTCCTGTGGACTCACCACCTGCAGGAGGATCAGTGAGCAGCTGGTGCTAAAGCCAAAATCTCCCGAGATCAAGCGTGACTTCAGAGTAAACAATCATGGCAGACAAATCAGAGCCTGTGCTCCGGAGCACAGCCTCTGATTGGCTGAGGGAGCTGATTTGGCCTCATTTCTTGCTTCTCGAGAGAAATACGAGTTACATAATTCTTTTGTGGCTCTGTTTCATTAATACATTTGATATGAATCGTACTTATGAGCAGAGGAAAGTCCTGTGCAAGGAACAATGCTAATGTTTTAGCCATAGAGCTAAGTGCTATGATGATCTGGACCATCAACACAACCTTTTTAGACAGATAAACTACCACCAACTGTTATAAACATATATACATAGTGTGTGTGCGCACACAGTGAACAGGGTCATGATCTGTGGACGGCCACAGAAGAAGAGGACGTGATTGTGAATGAGATTTGTGTAAACACCAAACACCGGGATTATGAGAGTTTGATAGACACATGTGGACTCAGGGGGAGGGGCTTTGGGGACATTCGGGGAAAGTAGTTCACGCTCCTTTACCTCGTCCTGTCACTTAAATGTACAAGAATCGTGTAACTTGTGCGTGCGTGTGCGTATGCGTGTGCGTATGCGTGTGCGTATGCGTGATTGTGTGCACCTCCTGCAGCTTCCTCTGTGGTGCCGTGAGCATGTTCAGGTGTGTGTAGCTGAGTCCGCTGCTCTTCAGGAGGTTGGACACCAGAGACGTCTTGTGTGGAGCGTCCTCCACCAGGATCCAGTGCAGCGCTGGAACCAGGAGGAAGGTGTGCAACAGACGCGTCAGCTCGGCCTTCTGCACCAGCCTGAACACACACAGTTATGGGACAGGTTTATATCATCTCATACAGGTCAGGTTAATAACACCAAAATGAAACAAGCAAGAGGCACTTTACTGCAGAACGTCAGCTGAACAAAGAACGCTCTTCAGGATCAAGACAATCTTGTCCAATCAGAGCCACCCCCTTAACTCTTTTTTTTCCCGCCAGAGAAGCACCATTAGCTCCAGACTCCTCTCTCTGAGGTGCTCCAAAGACAGACTCAAAACCTCTTTTAGGGTCAAAGTTAGAAAGTTGAGTTGATTTTATGTGTTTGGAATCATTTACATCAACCACATGAAACGCAAAGAGGACAAACTAACATCAGACCCCGGACAACACATCAGAACCGAAGCCACTGTTGGGAATAATTAAGACAGAACGTTCAGGAGGGACCCAGACCCAGATCACTGTGGAGGACAGACGAAGACCCAGACCCAGACCACAAGAGGGAACCTTCTGATGAGCTCAAACCTCTGGAAGTTTACTAAAGATTAGAGATTAAAAGAAGCTTTTGGAGTTCTGGAACAGCAGATGGACTGATGAAGACTGATGAAGAGGACATGCAGGTGCAGGGCTGGACTGGGACAAAAAAACGGCCCGGGCATTTTTTCCTTTTTAGCGGCCCAGACAACTCAAAAGGTTCAAGGAGCCCTATTTGACAAAAAAAAAAAAACAGCGTTGTATAAGGCTTATATGAAGGTAACAGGGCTACATTAGCTATATTAGCTATATTAGCCTAATATCTAAATGACAAAGTAAAGGCTAAACACATAAAAACCATTCATGATTATCAAATGTGTATTTTCATTGCAGCGTGTCCTGGAGAGAATGACGCACCACGTGACAACTCTGCTTTAAGTTTAACTTCCATTTTTTTGCCTTCATGCAATTGTACAAATACAGTAAATAAATCTGCTTTTTGGCTCCGAGTTCACCTGCATCACTGTCTGTTCATATCCATCACGTCACAGGCTGAAGTTTGCTGGAGCTGAATGTCCTTAATGGCCTTTTCTTTCACCGTCTTTGCGAATGTATTTGAAGTCTGAAAATAGGTGTTCTGACTTTATGATGAATGAATCTTTCAGTGAACAGTGTTTAGAGCTTCATTGTTCCTCCTGTTGCAACAAAACTTTTCATTACATCGCAAACATGAAGCAGTCCTTCCTCATTGACTGAAAGCAAATGTTCATTCTCATTCTTAGTCCAGTCTTATCGACTCTCTCTCTTTATCTTTGGGATCCATGCGCACACACAGTCTATAATGCACACGCCGCCTGGCACTTTAGGGGCACTAAAGGTTGCCGACCCCTGGTTTATACAGTATGTGGAAGCAAATACTGTAGAGCAGCCATTCCCAAACTCAGTAACACCGAGGCCCCCTTAAAAATCTGACGGGTCTGCGTGGCCCCCCAAAATAATAACCAAGAAGGCAACATTAAGAATAGGCTCTTCTGGTTATTTTATTTTAGGGAAATAGCCTCTGCTACAAACATTGTAATACAAAAATGATTACAGTGGATTATTCAAGTCAAATAATGAACACAAATATTTTAATATTACAAACAAAACATTATAAATTTAACATTAAATGATGATATTTTTTTTTTTTTTATGACCTCCCGCGGCCCCCCTGCAGTACCCTCGCGGCCCACCAGGGGGCCGCGGACCCCACTTTGCGAGACACTGCTGTAGAGGATCAGGATCTCTCCAGTTTCAACAATAAAATACAGTACAATAGTCTACATTAAACAGAGTAATAAACATGTCTCAGAGTGAGGGAGGTGGACACAGACAATACTATTGTTTGTTACAGGGATGAGAATTGGTAAAAATGTCTGAAATGCATAATGTCAGCCATTGGCTGGCTCTAAATCTGTTTAATCTGTTCACAACATTTTACTTTTGGGCTCAAACATGAACTTTTAATGCAATGGAAAATTTAGGTACCCGAGCTTTAATTTAGAGGAGAGGGGAGACGCGGACTGTTTTCTGCAGCGGTGTATTTATTGGGTGCACAAATTACGAAAAGACATGCATGGTCCTGTGCGCGTTTATGGTCTTGGGTACATGGTCACGTTGCGGCTACGCGCTCACCGTGTTGTGTTGTGAGCGGTTCCTGTGTCCAGCTCAGAGCCGCTGGATGCGGGAACACTGCGGCCGCTGAGGTGGTGGAATCCCGTTCGAGTACATACAGCAGGTGCCCCGCGGACGCGCGCTCCCCTCGAACATTTCTCAACGGATTTACACTTTTCACAAACATGTTTTTCGTATGTGGCAGACAGACCGGCCCAAATATGGGCATCGGCCCTTCGGGCATTGCCCGGTACGCCCGATGGCCAGTCCAGCCCTGTGCAGGTGGGGTACCTGGCATAGGTGGGGGTGATGACAGTAGGGGTACCTGGCATAGGTGGGGGTGATGACAGTAGGGGTACCTGGCATAGGTGGGGGTGATGACAGTAGGGGTACCTGGCATAGGTGGGGGTGATGACAGTAGGGGTACCTGGCATAGGTGGGGGTGATGACATAGATGGGGGGCAGATGGCCGGTGTCCTGCTGCTTGCTCTCCTTCCTCTGCATAATCTGCTGCAGGGTGTGGAGCTCCCCCCGCAGGCCAGAGATGGTACGCTCATACAGCAGCTCATGTTCAGTGCAGTCACAACGCTGACCTGCACACATGGACACACACACAAACACACACATACACACAGATAAACACAATGTTAGAAGCAGAAGAAGGTTTGGTCTTGGTTTTGTTAACATGGCGTGAATTCAAGAGTTTTTCTGCTTCTTAAAGGGATATAGGAGACTATGGGCTATCACGGTGAGACGCCTTTAACCAAAGAACAATCGTTTACTTCCTGTCTGTGCTATCGCTATGGCATTGTGGTGAGTTGTAGAGATGTGTTTTAGTAATTAGATTGATACATTCAGCTGAGACTGACCCAAAAGTGTCGATGTGCTTTCTCTCTGAGATAGAGCTTTGACTGTGGCCACTCAAAGATTTGTAAACTTTATAAAAGCACAATGACAGCACAATCAAAGAGCACTGCTGTGTCCCAAAAATGTTCAGCATCTTCAGTTTAATTCCTGTTTGATCGTTTTTTAGGAAATGCATGTAAAAATCTGCTGAACTCCAGTGAAACTCAAGCCGATCCTCGTGCACCGAAAGTCAAGTGCCGATATAACTAAAACGCGGAAGTGGTGCGTGCATAGAGCCCATTGGTCCTCCCAATTGTCAATCATTCTGGTGACACCGGCTCGTCAAATAAGACCAGAGAAGTGGTCTTATCAAAAAGTGGAGAAGATTTGGGAAAATCCTCCTATTTACTTTTAACATTCAGTGTAAGTTGTTGCAGAAACGCTCTGCACGGAAACCAGGTCAATTATGTACGTTACTTTGAATACAACACTGATATAAATATATCATTGTGTTTACCCAAAGGAGGACCAGGCATTTCCATTTCAAGACTTTCCAAACAACATTGAGGCACAAACAATATGTAGTATTATGTGTTACGGGCGGCACGGTGGCTGAGTGGATAGCACTCTCGCCTCTCAGCAAGAAGGTCCTGGGTTCGAATCCCGGTCGGACCAGGGCCTTTCTGAGTGGAGTTTGCATGTTCTCCCCGTGTCTGCGTAGGTTTCCTCCGGGTACTCCGGTTTCCCCTACCACTAAAAATATGTCCAATAGTTCAGGCATGTGCCTCCTGTACTGGCCCCGCTCCCATCTCTGTGTGGAGTGAGAGACAAATGCCCATAATTAACAATTGTAAACCGCTTTGAGACTCAGATCTGCAGTGAAAAGGCGGTATATAAATAAAAACTTACTTACTTACTTACTACTTACTGTTAGATAGAGAGTGTTGTTGGGGATCACTTTAGCGTCTAGACGAGACTAGTGTCTTCATGAGAGGTGCTGGTTTTAGCTGATGGCATTAGTTCCGAGACCAACTCGAGCCACACGTTAAGAATGAAACCGCGTTCGTAGCTCCAACATGTAATGTGTCCAACAGGAATTTGTGCAATCCTTATTTAGGGATTTTATGTCAGTTAAAATTTATTACCATTAGTGATATGAAGCCTCAATCTGTGGGTGCATCACCAGTGGTCTCTTTGTGACGTTTTACTTTTGAATGCACTGGGAAACAGCTGCAGGTCCTAAGTAGCTCTGAAACAGTCGTTTTGTGCTTTTGAATTTTATTACTTTTTTCTACCTGAGATGTTGCTGCAGTACAGTGTTCATGGTTTTACACTGGTCCAGACCAGAGCAGAGAGGATTCATGGTCCGAACCAAGCGGATCAGGTGATAATCCACTGGGGGGAGGCTGACTTTTTGAAAAATGCTAATGAAGCAATCAGCATTTCACTTTGGACTAGAGCAGAGAAAATGGTCTGAACCAAGCGGCTACTCCACCTCTTCTGATGTGACCTGTCCTGCTCCACCCAGAGACTACTCCACCTCTGCTGCTGTGACCTGAAGGGCTGTTGCTGATTATTACTAATGTTAGCTTTATAGAATAATCAATTTTATCTTTGCTGCTCCTGGACACTTGAATTTCTTCTACAGGGATCAATAAAGTATCTACAGTATCTATCTATCTATGACCGGAGATATTGCATATTTTTCTTTAAGCATAAGTGTCATTACATTTTGTGACTGGTGCAGGCTGGTTTTGTCAAATGTTCTTGTACTACATTTGTATTTGAACCAACTTTGACAATATTCAAATCCAGGTTAAAAACATCTGAAGGATTGTATCTTTACTCTTTTACTCTGTGATTATTTATGATTGCTTAAAAGCCTTGTGTGATCTTAATGTTCTTTTTCTTGTTTTGTGAATCAAGTCACACTGACAATATGAATGTGTAATCTAGCTGCTCTACCGGTGCATGAATACAGTAAATGGACAATTCATTATTTGTTTATTGTTTGATTATATTCTAAAATCATACGGAATTGAAGTTTATCATAAAAAAGCTTATGTTTGTAGTTTTAACAACAAATTAACGGCCGCTGTGAAGCCTAGCGTACATCGGACTGGCAACTGATTATATCCGTCGCCTCTGAGTTGCTGCCCCGCACACATCGACAATCTGGCAAAAACGGGCAACTCTGAGTCGCAGGCCAGTCTCTTGAATAACAGCGCGTACATCGACAGCAACTGGCCTCAACCACAGTGTGTTTTCTGACATAAACTGTTGCAGGCTCACAATACACGCAATACACACACGTTGTCGGAGCGGCGCATGGAGCGCGCACATCGGGGCAACTGAGGACAACTAGTTGCCGAAAAGTAGAACACGGGCAACTGACTGGAACTGGAGATCGACTGATCATCTCCAGTTGTAAGAGCGCGCACATCGACCGATTTCGGCAACTGATCATCTCCCACCATCTCCTCTCAGTTGCCAAAAGCCGCCTTGCAACTAGTTGTCCCCAGTTTCTCTGTCGATGTACGCTAGGCTTAAGGAGTAGCTCTCTGCCCTTTGTTTTGCAAAAGTAGCTCTCCAGAAAAAAACGGTGCAAAAGTGTGCAAAAGTGTGCATGAGTGTGCATGAGTGTGCGCGTGTGCGCGTGCGTGCGTGCGATAAGAATAAGAGAAACAGTGTCCCACAGTGGGGAAATTTCAATGTTGCATTGCACATTCAGGACAGTACTAAGAGCAGACAGGTATCATAGAAAAAATCTACAATATGAGTGGCTGCCATGTTTCTTAGCTAGCTGTAAATGCTTCAAAATCAATACATCTATCCATCATCTATCTATCGCTTTTTATGTATCTATTGTTCTATCTATATAGTTTAAAGTTATATACTTGTGTGGCAGGATAATAAGTAGATAAAGCGACATTCAGAATTCACATTATTGACTATTTACAGATGAATGACATGTACAGGCTCAGCAGTTCTCATTGTACAGTCTGACAGCAGCAGCGACATGTGAATGTGTGCGTGTTTGAGTGTGAATGTATGCGAGTGAGTGTGCATGAGTGTGTGCGTGCGTGTGAGTGCAGTGTGTGTGTGTGCGTGCATGTGCGTGTATGACTGACCCAGCTGCATAAGTGCGTACAACAGTCCCATCACAGATACCAGGAAGTACAGGACAAATATGGTCCTCAGCTTCAGCCGCATCCTGTGCGCCATGGCAACGCTGGAATCTTGACCAGAGACACACAAGAAAACCATACGGTTGGTATAATTTCTATTTTTGTTGTATACAAACTTTATAAACAAGTTTTTAGCTTTATTGGGTTGATTATAATCTACAATCCTGCCGTTTAAAAAATATACAGTGGGGCAAAAAAGTATTTAGTCAACCACCGATTGTGCAAGTTCTCCCACTTAAAATAATGACAGAGGTCTGTAATTTTCATCATAGGTTCACTTCAACTGTGAGAGACAGAATGTGAAAAAAAATCCAGGAATTCACATTGTAGGATTCTTAAAGAATTTATTTGTAAATTATGGTGGAAAATAAGTATTTGGTCACTTCAAACAAGGAAGATCTCTGGCTCTCACAGACCTGTAACAACTTCTTTAAGAAGCTCTTCTGTTCTCCACTTGTTATGGCACCTGTTTGAACTTGTTATCTGTATAAAAGACACCTGTCCACAGCCTCAAACAGTCAGACTCCAAACTCCACTATGGCCAAGAACAAAGAGCTGTTGAAGGACACCAGGAAAAGAATTGTAGACCTGCACCAGACTGGGAAGAGTTCATCTACAATAGGCAAGCAGCTTGGTGTGAACAAATCAACTGTGGGAGCAATGGTTTGAATACTGAGTTGCATCCCAAGAACACCATACCTACTGTGAAGCATGGGGGTGGAAACGTCATGCTTTGGGGCTGTTTTTCTGCTAAGGGGACAGGACGACTGATCCGTGTTAAGGAAAGAATGAACGGGGCCATGTATCGTGAGATTTTGAGCCAAAACCTCTTTCCATCAGTGAGAGCTTTGAAGATGAAACGTGGCTGGGTCTTCCAGCATGACAATGATCCCAGACACACCGCCCGGGCAACGAAGGAGTGGCTCCGTAAGAAGCATTTGAAAGTCCTGGAGTGGCCTTGCCAGTCTCCAGACCTCTCCCCATTGAAAATCTGTGTTCACTGCTCTAGAGAAGATCTGCATGGAGGAATGGGCCAAAATACCAGCTACTGTGTGTGCAAACCTGGTAAATACCTATAGTAATCGTTTGACCTCTGTTATTGCCAACAAAGGTTATATTACAAAGTACTGAGTTGATTTTTTGTTATTGACCAAATACTTATTTTCCACCATACTTTACAAATAAATTCTTTAAAAATCCTACAATATGAATTCCTGGATTTCTTTTTCACATTCTGTCTCTCACAGTTGAAGTGAACCTATGATGAAAATTACAGACCTCTGTCATTATTTTAAGTGGGAGAACTTGCACAATCGGTGGCTGACTAAATACTTTTTTGCCCCACTGTATATATTTAAATGAACACATAAATGTTCATTTATCAATGTTCAATAGTAAAACTATTGCTTATAAAATATTTGATATTGTTTATCGCAATAAGTTGCACAAGATATAAATTGGTATCCAAATGTAGTTATTGTGAGGCTACTATAAAGTATGGTTTACAGAAATCTAACACACATTGAAAAAAAACATAGGAATAAAAGGTAAACAAAATGGAACATTCTGAATAATGATTTAGATGATTTATATTAAAACAACGGCTTGAATGGAAACAGAGGTGAAAGGTTTTTTATGTGTATAGCGTACATTTCGGCCCACCATAACACCTTCTCCACCGACTCCCACTGCTGTCATTGGGCAAGACACTTAACCCCACCCCCCCCCCCGACCCAGAAATGGATTAAGGGGCAGAAAATGGATGGATGGTGTACATTTCATTCATGTTTGAATGGTCTTTAAGGCTTTAGGACTAATGCAATAGTTTAATGAAATAAAGATCAAATTGAAGGAATGCGTTCATCATAAATGCTTAAAATTATGTGTGTTAGAACGAAATTATAAGAAGCAAATCCAAAAACACAAAATGAACTAAGATCTGCAATGTTGATATCATTCTGTTTGCAGGATAAATACATCTATGCATCATTTTAGGCACATGTCTTGGGTCTTAGGATATAAAAAGAAAATGATTTTGGCAACACAAGAAAGTTATACAGATTTTCATATTTGTTGTGTGTGTACAGCTGAAGCTGAGATGAAACTAACATATGATATAGACTCATGACATACAAAGTGACATGTCAAGCCTTTGGTCCTTTGATATTTAATTATTATGGCTCACAGATTGTAAAAAAACAGATTTCACATGATTAGAATAATAAAATAAAAACATAATTTACACATAAATGTGAGTCCTCTGTACTAAGCACATGCTGCAGATGTGCTTAGTACAGTCAGGTCAGTAGTCCTCCCCATGAGGGTGAACTACAGAGAGACCATTTGAAAGTCTCAGATCCTAAAGCAGAAGTTTGGATCGATGGCTGATGACAGTGAATTGATTGTTTTTTTCTAGATGTAATCCATAATAATCCCAATGAAAACAAAGACTTCAAATGTCATTTGGCGTTCAATGAGTGAAAAACAATTATTGAAATAAATTATGTGTAATACTTTTTAACACTTTAGGTTTTACATGTATGTGTTTGTTAAGAAAGCCTAATGTGCGGTGAAACTGACACACTGACTTTTGTCAGTTTCATAAAAACATTCCAAGTGATCAAATATACTATAATATTTGTCTGCTTTCGTAAAAAATTTTAAAGTCAACTTGAACTGTTTACATCACACACATAAAACAGTCAATTTAGTTTCATCTAACAATGTATCTAATATCTCATTACAGTCAACGTGACATATATCAAGCTTTTATATCTAACATCTCAGTAAATGTGAATATCTCGAATGCAGAGTGTAAGACATTTTAACATCATGTGGTGAGTTTCACTGACACTGAACCATTATTATTATAGATCCATGCACACGACCAGTCTCTGACCGGGACTCACAGTCACGGAGCACAGCAGCGGTTCGGGTTCATCACAGTCTCCTCCTCGTCCCTGTGTCCCCTGGTCCCTGTGTCCCTCACCGGGGCATGGGACACATCCTTGAGGCTCGCGAACTCTTAACGATGCACAGCCATGGATCTATTATAATAACGATACACAGTAAGGAAGAGTTTGGCGCATACACCATCTGTGTGCACCACCAAAAGACGACAGAACACATTCCTGTAAACGAAGGTTCCGTTTCTTCTTCTTCAATTCGGTTTTACGGCAGTCGGACTCAATTTGTTGCATTACTGCCACCCTGAGTTATATTCTAGAATTGCCCGTGAGCCCATTGGACACAAGGATGTACTATATCACATGTGTCAAAGTCAAGGCCCGCGGGCCAAATCCGGCCCGCGAATGAATTATCTATGGCCCCCGGGACATTGCCTGCCATTGAGGCAATGTATTGACCCCTTAAGCTCGCTAGCCCCCGCCGGCGGGAGCAAACGAGGAAAAAAATACTTCTGCTGGCAATAGCAGATGTATTTTGAACTTCATAAGCCACAAGCTATATATCATTTTAAAGCTTATTTTCTCAGCTATATTTATATGTAAGTGTAAACGATATCAAACTTTGCATTAAAAAGATATAACGCATAATATGGGCACAAAATAAATCAGTCTGTATTTGTTTTTTACCTTTTGTCTTCTGCTGCTCCAACAAATTAGACTTTCCCCATCCTTGCTTAGTCGCTTTCTCTCCGTAACTGTTCATTGAAGAAGAACATCCACTTGTATTTCCCACAGTATAATCCATTCTTCAGATTTAATCAAAAAAACGCCCCGAAAAGAGGTCCAGACTGCTCTTTTACATTTCACCAAGTTTGAGCTTTTTCTTTTTTTACTATTTTCATGTTCTCAGATGTCTATTACATCTAATATGTACAGTATGAGGATTGGCTTTGGAGCATATTTTATCGAGCCAACAGGTGTCACCGGCACTGCCTCTGGATGTTGAGAAACATTGAACCAGTCCGGCCCTCGGCGCGTAGCAAAAAATTTTTTTTTGGCCCTCTGATGTATTTGACTTTGACATGCCTGTACTATATTATAAAGTAGACAAAACATACCAATAAATCTTTACAGACTATTAATTTGTATGGTTTGAAAAGGGATTGATAAAAGCAAAATGTGCATCTCAATTCAATCCGCTACTATTGCTTTGAATTATAAAAAGAGCAAAAACCCAGGCGATCAGAAGGCTGCTGTGTCATTTTGACACCTTTAGACCAAGTGTTTTTGCCGAGCTGTGTTCAGTATAAACACAGCGGCTAAATACAGCAGTAACTTTGACACAAACTATTTTATCACTTGGACCATCACATTTAACATTCCCATGAAACTATCAATATTAATTAATTTTGCATATTAAATAAGTATTGTGTGTGTGTGTTTAGTTCAAAATCCTCTAGAAACGATATATTTATATTATATACTTCAACAATGAAATTAATCCAGTAAATAGCTGGTTCATTAATATGCAAACTGCACAAACTTTTTGAATAAAAGTCACAAATAGTTTGAAAAGTCTTAACAACTTTCCTTTATTGGAACAAATCAAACGGTGACAGGCAGAACCTCCCTTTCCTGGATTTACACGCTGAAAACTGAAACCAAGACCCAAGATTCCAGACAGACAACAAAAAATACCATACACAGCATTTCCTCATTTAAAAAGAGTCCAAATAAAAGCGTTCAGCGTCAGTTCAGACGGATATTAAAAAGGCATGGGGGAAATTTCTATGTACAACTAATTGAGCATGTACAGATAAGGCTTTTGAGATAAATCAAATAACATTGAGGTTTGAGAGGGCCGGTATCCTGAGAGCATCATGAAGACTGGACACTTTGCTTCATGCATGCGCCAACTAAACTATTCACAGCCTGCGTCACATTGTCAGCCTGGACCAAAGTCTGTCGTGTCCTAGTGTAAATCTTAAAAATGCAGTAGACATGCAAAGTATCTGAAAACAAAAGCTTGGGTATGCATTTTTTCCCCAGATCAAATAATTGATTAAAACAAGGAGACGGTAGCAGGAGTAGATCCATGTGTGAAAGTTCAGAGATGACAAAGGAACCAGCAGTGAAGCAAACAAAGGGTTCCCTCAATAAATACACAATGTACAATGTGAGCGAGAAGCAGCTGCTTCATGTCATGTCCTGCACTGATTTTGGATATGACATTTGATTGTTTTTTCTCTTATTAAAAGCTGGGGTGCCCAACTTTTCCTCATAAATAATCCATCTTATGAGTCCGAACAGAAAGTGTTACATAATCAACACAACATGCTGTCGTTATCAAATGTGTCATGAGTCTTCTATCTTTTCATACCTGTGAGTCATAATTTGTCTGTTTGAGCTGAGTGAGGGCGGTTATTCCTTCTTCACTGTTCTGTCTGAAAAGGCTGATCTAAAGATGTGTCCAACTGTTCCAGAGCTAAGACTGATTTATATGGATTTTGCGACATCATTTAAAAAAAGAAAGTTGGTTACCCAAGCTTTAAGATTGAATTATAAAGGTTGACACAACATTATAACCCTTTCCCCAAAATATAAATTTGCAAATACTGTGAAGAGCCACATCCACAAGAGCTGGCTGCATGATTCACTGCAGAACTATAAACCGACAGATGTAACCATGAAGCTTCTTCTGAAAAGTGAGTTATGAGGTCAGAATGTCCAACAAGTCCAGGACAGTGTCTGCAGGGCCAGTCTGAGCGTCTGTGTGAGAGGCTGGAGGATCAGCATGAGCTAAAGACGCTAAAGAAGAGACTAAACAGTCAAAGGAAGCCTGCTGAGACCTCCTGAGGCCAGAGGAGTGAAGGCCGGGTCCCCCTGAGGCCAGAGGTGTGAAGGCCGGGTCCTCCTGAGGCCAGAGGAGTGAAGGCCGGGTCCTCCTGAGGCCAGAGGAGTGAAGGCCGGGTCCTCCTGAGGCCAGAGGAGTGAAGGCCGGGTCCTCCGAAGGCCAGAGGAGTGAAGGCCGGGTCCCCCTGAGGCCAGAGGAGTGAAGGCCGGGTCCCTCTGAGGCCAGAGGAGTGAAGGCCGGGTCCTCCTGAGGCCAGAGGAGTGAAGGCCGGGTCCCCCTGAGGCCGGAGGTGTGAAGGCCGGGTCCCCCTGAGGCCGGAGGAGTGAAGGCCGCGTCCCCCTGAGGCCAGAGGAGCGGGCTCAGTGACAGCAACCCCCGCAGTGGCCGCCCCCGTGGTTGTGGCCGCCCGACACTTCCCCGTGCTTGGTCCTCCGACTCAGGATCTCGTAGGAGCAGTCATCCCCGCAGCAGCCAGACATGCTCGGAGACGTCTCATCGATCTCAAACCTATAAGCACAGCAGACTTAAGGTCCACTCAACATGAAGAGGCCCCAGTCCAATAGGAAACAACAGGGCAATTGGTGTTTCCAGACTGAGATAAATGTGTAGAACGCAATTAGCCACGTTTAAAAAGTTGTTTGGATGTCCCATGTATGATTTTTATGCATATTGGTGCCGGTGTTCTGTCGAGTATCTGTCTATGGGTATTTATTATTTGGGTACTTACTGTAGGGCTTCTCTAAAGAACTGGAACGCTCCGTGGTTATGTTTGAAAACTGTTAGCATCACCTTCTTCATCTGTGTGCTGAAAAACAACAAATGGCCACTTTAAAACCAGACAGCTTTGCTCTGGTGCCAACTTTGGGTGGTGCAGTGTGTCGAGTTAGAAAATGATATTATTATAAGTATATAGTATAGCAATTATTTTTAAAAAGGTAAAAATCAACAGGTCACAAAAATAAACAGCAATACACAGTTTGAGAAACAAGTTAAACTAACAAATGTGGGTGTGGAAAAAAACCTAAAAGTTTTTCTACACTAAAACTAAAAAAAGTGTTTGGAAGTGACTAATGCAAATGAACAGTGGAATTATGGTCATCATAACCTGTATATAATGAATAGAGCATGGTCTATAATTGCATTGTATCGTTTCCTTAATAAAGATTAATAATAATAATATTCTCTGTGTATAATAATATTCCTTCAACAGGAAACTGTGAAGAGCTTTCAGCTCCCCCTGCTGGATGTGCCAAGCAGCGCAAATCGCAGAGTGATCACTCCACCACTGTTGTGACGATGCCCGGATCTGAACCGTAAATAAATGAAGGCAGCATTGACACACAAAATGGGATTGAAATATAAATATTGATTTTCGGGGCAGCATTGCGATATTTGGGCCACAATTCAATATTATTGTGGTTCTTAACATATTGCGATTCGATTCTGTGATATTTTGCGATTCATGTCCCACATATTATTTGAAGCTATTACAAAAATGGAGTAAAATAAGACTCAACACAAATGTCACATTTATTATGGTCTGCACCAAACTAACAAAAAGCAGACATAATAAAGAAACAAACCTCAGTAAGTTACCTGTAAACTCAGAAACCACGCAAGTGAAACTGATAATTATTCAATTAAATATAACTACACTTTGCTCCTTGTGATTTAAATAGAAGATACTGAACAGAATTTTCTCCACCACCAATTGATTTTACGGACTAAACCCCTAATTACATAATAAAGATTTAAACTTTGACTTTTAACATGTGAATAAGTATTTTTGATTTTTTATTATCTATTTATTATTTATACAAAACCAAATTTACAATGTGGAGTCCGCCAAAGGCTGGGAAACCTCATGTCCCACAGTCAATAATTTGTGGGGCTATTTATAGTTCCCAACTTTACTAAATGATTTTTTTCTGCATACTTCCTGTGCTTGTGTGTCCTTTGATGTGGCACACCTTAGGCTCTTCGGAATCTGGAATCAGTCCGATCTGGCCCGATTGCCCCTTCTGTCCATCCTCCTCAAATAAGGGGACAAGACTTCACCATAAGTGTTACAAGAATTTTTTGCACAAAGTTTGATCATTTGAATTTAACCCATTGAGGCCGGGAACGCATTCCCGTGTTTCTCCCTTTCAAGCCGGGAGCGCTGTTGTGCACTTCTATCTTTAAGGCCGGGAAAGCGGACACGTCTTTTTCTCTTTTTTGACCTATTCTCTTCATTGATCAATTCTCTGGACCAAAGAAATGCATCAGGATAAACCAGGGATGAGAATTATCTGCGGATCCACAAATTGTGTGGCCGCGGGTTGTTTGCGTTACGTACTTGAACGGGATTAACATCCTCCGTTCTGACCTCGGGAGCAACTGTGGCTGCTTTGACACAGCTCAGCCGTAACCTGGTCATGTGCCGCGGACCATAGACGCGCTATCAGGACCGTCCCAAGCTTGTTGCACATGCAGGTCTCTCCCACGTCTCTTCACGAAACCCAGCCCAAACTAACTGAATTAAAGCTCAGGTGCCTAAATTTTCACTTGCATTGACAATACATGTCGTTTGTGCACAAAAGTAAAATGTGAACAAATCAAACAGAACAGACCACAACAGTAGTGTAATTTGACTTTTTTGGGCTGAGAATGGAATTTTTACAATTTTTTTTCTACATAGGTAGTGCCACTTTATTGCCAAACTCTTTTTGAACTTGTATTGAGAAACATGTGTTAGTCTCACATTATTTTTGGTTGTTTTATTACATTTCCTGTGTGGAAGTTGTATATTTATTGTTCTTATTGAAAGCCACTAGTGTCATCTCTCAAATTCTTTTGAAATTATGTTTCTATCTGTAACAGAGGCTGAGATATCAATCATTCTGTAGACGATCTATTTCAGGAACACTTCAGGTTTTGGAGGTGGTTCTGAAGTTGGCCTCAGGTTTTACAGGTCTGCTAGCTTTACCAGGTGTGTCCGCCCATAATGGGTTAAATGATAATGGCTTCCAGGTACGATGAGTGGGTGCGCAGCTAAATAAATAAATAAAAGCACAGTGGCCTCGGTCAGGAAATGCAAAAGTTCAGAACCACTTTGGCTACAGTGCGGAATAAGAATCTGGTTCTCCCATTTGCCATCAATACAATGCAATAGTCATTTTTGTGATATCAGTGCTGCCTTGAGTACCGGCGAGAGGCAGTCTAAACATACAGGAGTATTGGGACAGGCCACTTTCAGCGCTGCTTCCGTTGCCATCTTGTAAATATTTACTTTTGTGACAGGGCTGTTTTCATGAGCGATCCAATTGTGTAAAATTGTGGTTGTTTGAAGAAAAGAAAATACTGCTGTTTGGACATGATCTGCTGTCGGCAGGTAACCGTGTCTCCAGGATCCTTTGCAAAGTGATGGGCCTCACCAAAAAGCTCTTGATCTGTCCTCGGATATTCTTCTAGAAGGATTATGGGAAAGTGTTGTCAAAGCTCAGTGTTACCTGTTTGCTATGAGCTGTAGTATCTGGATAAGAAACTTCCCCAGTCCTTTCCTGCGCACTCTGCTCTCCAGCTGCACCTCATAACTGCGGACAGAGAGTTAGCCGTTAGCTTCCCCAGGGAGCAGCCCACCCAAGCCCTCCTCACCAGTAGAGCACCTCCTCTCCACACTCCACATCAAAGCGGAAGTGTGAGAAGGCCACGGGAGAAGAGTCAGCTGTGTCCCGGGCAAGCAGGTACCAGGCACGCTCGTCGTTCATCTCCTCTCGCTTCTCGCGCTCTTTCCACCCCCACTCACTCTGCTCGTACCTGGGGTAAAGGGCAGAGTCAGTGCAGTGTCTTTCACAAAAAGCATTCCAACAAGTTTTATGAAAAAAGAAAAGAAACATTCAAGATCATGATATAAACGTGAAGAATTAACCTTCATTTCTTAATAATTTGGAGGGTTGGACATAATTTAACAGAGCTGTGAACATGTTCTAAAAGGAAATGAAGTTAATGAGCCTCTTGCTCTGCTTACACCAGGAGCCCACACTTTATCAAAGGTCTACTTTCATGGCAATCATTGAGCCGAGATCTACCTCAGATTTACGTGGAGGTGTTAGCATTCAAAATATCACATTTGGTTTGATTCATGATGTCTGTATTCACATTTTGTTGGCAGAAAAATACTTAAATGCTTAAATAATTATAAGATTAAACATTGAGATATAAAAGTACGAATACATCTGTCATGAAATACAGTGAACTCTGATGTCATGAGAGCTACGCACCCTGCCCTCACGATTTGCCGGTAGATCACCATCAAAAGATTGCGCAACCCTGATCTACCGGGTCAAGCTTTTGAATGGGACTATCCCACAGTCTCATATACACACTTTAGTCGTGTCTACAAGAATATAAGAGTATAACTTATAACAGTGCTCTTACAGCGCCTGCATGTTGGCTCGAGTCAGCTCGAAGGCCCACTCCACCGACAGCGGGTTGAGGCCGGTCACTCTCCGGCACTCGATCTGTAGGTTGAGCCTGTGGTGGACACACAGGGGTCAGGGGGGTCTGCAGAGAGCAGACTGGAGCAGAGGAGAAGAGGCTGCTTACCCATTTCTGTCATACTTTTTGAAGGCAGGGAATGCAGACAGAGGGTCATCCAGCTGAAAAATACATGAGAACATGCTTCTTTTATAATGTCATTTGGGTTAAGACAGACATAACATGCTTCTGTCTGCAATATTCTGATCCACACAATTCTAACTGGGCTCAATCAGAGTTGCAACATTTGTTGAACATGCGTTCATAAAATACTTTTTTCAAACGAATCAAGACGAGACGGAGAAAGCGGCGCTGCTTCTGGCCTGTACGAGGTGCTGCGCCCATGTGAATTATGTTCTTGCCATATATCTTTTGAAACCTTAATAAGCTTAGTTCAGTTGCTGGATTAGTTTTTCAATTCCACAAATCAAAATGTGAACACACGCACTGCCATGTGACCCGGGATGCATTCAGGGCCGTTATATTTGAATATGTCTGAAAGATGTCTGGAGAGCTGTGTGCTCTCTTCACTAGTTCAGGCGGTGAGGGGCGCATTGGGTTCCATGGGGTACCAAAGGGGCCCCACAATCAATAAAACACAAGTGTAGAATATGTATATGTAGAATATTATGAACTTGTTTGGCCCACCTTATTGGCTGCGTCCACTTTGGCACACACCGCGTCCATGGCAGCCCTCTCCTCCAGACGCCGAGCTTTCTTTTCCTTTGCTTTGTTGGACTTCCTCTACAGAGAACAAAACATTTTCACTTTACTTTGTGTAGGAACTGTGTGGTCATTTTTTTTTCAAATGTATGCATTAAAAAATTAGATAAAAACTCGCAAGATACAAAAAATATAAAACACAGTTCGAAAACGAGTTGGGACTAAAAAAGCGTCCGCAAACCTCAACCTCAAAAGGGTTGGAGGAAGCTTATTTTGTCTGTTGTTTACACTTGCCTTTCCCGTCAGTACTTTCTGGACACCGGTTACATTAACAGAGCAGTAAACAATTGTCAACTGAGACAAAGAGAAGTCATATTGTTTGACTCTGCTCACGCTCATGCGCGTATCAACATCACATCAAAATGCTGAGACTTTATGCACGTGTTACTGCGTAGTAGGACCACGTCGCCCAAACGTGCCAAGGACGAGACTCACATGTGTGCGACAGATAAATGTGTCTATCAGGATTTATTATTATTTAAATGTTTTTATAGTAAGTAAGTAAGTAAGTAAGTTATTATTTATATACCGCCTTTTCACTGCAGATCTGAGTCTCAAAGCGGTTTACAATTGTTAATTTTGGGCATTTGTCTCTCACTCCACACAGAGATGGGAGCGGGGCCAGTACAGGAGGCACATGCCAGAACTATTGGACATATTTTTAGTGGTAGGGGAAACCGGAGTACCCGGAGGAAACCTACGCAGACACGGGGAGAACATGCAAACTCCACTCAGAAAGGCCCTGGTCCGGCCGGGATTCGAACCCAGGACCTTCTTGCTGAGAGGCGAGAGTGCTATCCACTCAGCCACCGTGCCGCCCATATGATAAGGGGCAGGCCCACGCAAACACAAATTTACGTAAATACTTATATTTATGAATGAAGATGGATATTATTGTCAAATGAATGAGAAAAGCCTATGTCGTAATGAAAATACTTAACCAAAGACGTCTAAGCTAAGATTATAAAAATTAAATGATATAGTTCTAAGGCTGGGAGTTGTGACAGCCTTCATGTTTCTGGTGTCCTCCTCCTGTGACTAAAACTATCTGCTTGACTTAGTTTTGGTTGGATCATTTCAGACCAAATAATCTATGAAATGTAAGACAGCATTCTATTGGTTAGATTCTTCCCAAAATGCTGTGTGCTCATAAGGTCGTGAAAAGACTTCGGCAGAACATCGGCCGGTGTTTGCCTTGGGAACTACTATCGGCAAAAAAAGACATTCGATGGAGGCGCGTGAAAAGAGATACTTGTAGAAGGCGTCCGCGCACTTTCCTCTGTAGAAGAAACAAAACAGATGGCGCTGATTGTGTGGCAATATTTTACAGTATCAGAAAAGATCAGCGTTATGCAGTTTGCACCTGTCCAGTAAGATTAAGAGGAGGAAAATTATTAACAAATCTCATTGGACATTTGAGAAGCATGAGGCGGTGCACAGCAACTGCACGAAGCTGAAGAAAAATGGAAAACTGAAGCCGCCAAGAAATATCAGCCAATGCACAAACCCCCTTCAGCATGGGCATTTCTTTGTTAAAAGGCACTAAGAAATGGTGGCAATAGCAGTGCACACACTTGTCCGTCTTCCTCCTTCACCACATTGTTATAATCTTAAACTATTTCTGAAAATAATTGCATTCATTTAGAGCTTCAGTCCACATTTGATGATATTGCTTTTTAAATCTGAGGCCATGTGACCAGGACAGGGCGCTGTTGTTCTCAGGGCCTCTGTAGTTAAGCCGAGCCGTGCTGTGGAAAAGTATATAAGGCAGAAAAGGCACAACATGGATTATAATTGAAACTTTTATAATCGTTTGGGATGGAATTTCAAGCAACAGTTTTTGAAATTTTAATATTGAGCTATTTTTGTATTAACAGTTGACTTTGAAGAATCGATTGAAACCAAAGAGTGATTAAAAAAGGCCTCTGTCCACTTACTATAATCAGTGCCCGTTAGAAAAGCACCAATATACCGTGTTTAGTTTATTTGGATTTTTTGGATTGAGGAAACACAATTGAAGTGATTATTTCTAAGGTATAAAAAGTGAAGAATGCACGAGTACATTTGTCACTTTTCTGAGTGCATTAAATTGCCTCTAACACATGCTTAATGACCGCTAATGTCGACAACGTGCCCCAACAATGTTAGGCCAACTGCAACAAAAGTACCCAACGAGGCCATTGGTCACTCTGGAGGAACTGCAGACATCCACAGCTCACCTGGGGTAATCTGGGCATGGGGCAAATATTTGTCACCTTGCTATAATTTGACAAGTTTTGAGTGTTGTCTGCTGTATCACCCAAATTATTAGCAAACTATTAGGATGGACTGAGAAACATGAAGAAGAGTGAAATATGGGACCTTTAACAACTTCATTTGTTATCACCACCAAGTCAGAGTTTCTGGTGTTGACACTTTAACAGTTGCCATACAAGCAAGTAATGCCTCAATGCTTCACAAGGCTCCATAACCCCGCCCACCCAACACATCCATCCATTTTCTTCCCCTTAATTCATTTCTGGGTTTTTGGCGCTACCCAGTGTTACAAACACTGACATCCAAAGGACAAATTAAATTTTTATTAGAAAAATAAAATCATTATTGCTTATTAATAGGAGAATACTATACTGTTTAGCTTCAGCATAGTAAAGCAGAAAGTATAAAATACTCTATATTCTAGCAAGAAATATCATTAAGTGGTTTGTCATTCCATATTGTATATTTATAATCAAGCCTAATAAAACAAAAATATTAATTTGATTAATTGTCCAAGATATTTGATAGAATACTCGATTACTAACATATGCAATTCCTGCAGCTCTAGCTACAGTGTGCTGTTAGAAAAAGAAAAATTGAGAATCGAATCGAGGATTTGGAGAATTGTGACCCCCCAAATCCGTAACGGTCATAACCAATTTACAAGCCAAATATCAGAATTGACTGATGATACAACACTGATGGTTGCATCAGAAGCTTCCTCTATTGGTCCACAAAGCTACTCGAAGAAGTCGCTCAGTGGGTTTAACTTGAGGAATTAAGTTTAATCCTATCGAAATTCTAACAAAACCAATGCAAGAGGCACAGACCAAAAAATGACAGATTTATGAACTGTTTTAGGGTCAGGACAATTGGGACTCTGGATTAGTGACAATCTCAAATTGAATAAACAGGTGGATCACAACTGGAAGAGGATGGCAAAACAAATCTTGCTGCGCAGTCTCGCCTACACATGTATCCATCACTTGAGGGACTCCTGCTTCTGTATAATGTCAATTTGACAACGTTAAATGAGTTATTAATTGTACTAAAAGCACTTCTAGGGACAGACATTACAAATTGGCCTTGGCTATAAATGTTGGTGTTTCACATGTGTACCCTGGTCCCTACCAAATAGATAAATACAATTAATGATTATCCTAATGTTAACCATTAAATAAGAGTTTAACAGTGCATTCCTTTGATACAAATATTGCATGTTTTCTGAAGACCATTTGAAGAAACCCTGACTGTCTGAATACAGCTAGTCAAAATTCAGGAATTCTCAGTACATGACTCAGATGATGCAAAGAGAATGTAGAGCAGGGAGAGCAGCATTTCACAATTAAGTCAGGGACATACGGAGCATTTAGTCCCAGGTTTGAGTCCTGTGCACATGTGCTCCGTCCAAATAGTAACGCAAAAACTGTAGAAACTAGTCAAAACTAAATGAATAAGATTTAAAAAAAAAAAAAAATCAGACAATCTATTCTAAAACTATCCATACTAGATACCCATTTGAACAAGAATCTCTTCGACAACAAAAAGCAACATACATTTTGGGAAGATGCATCATATTTGGTATGTATTATCATTTCGCACAACAAACTTAGAAAATTACAACTTATTGTTCAAGTGGAGCCAAGAAGGAAATCATCATCGTAGTTTTGAAATTAGTATCGGGCTGAAATGTTTTGACAAGACGAGTGTAGAATATATTAATGAAGTATTACAGCCACAATAGTGAAAACAGTGGTTGAAAGAAAACGCAATGTGACACTTTACCACAGTCACAATAATCTGCAGAGAAGAATGAAAAGTGCAGAATCAGATCAAATGTTTTCTGAGTAAAACGTGTCTCGGTTGTTTTTCGAAGAGGCTAAACAAGAGGCTACAGTGGCGGTGGTGGAGGCCTGCTCACTCACCCCCATCCTGCGGCACTGGGCTGCTCTATTGTCCGCTCCGCACGCTCGGCTGTCGGGAGGAGAATGCGAACAGAACCGCGGTCCGTACGGGGACGCGGAGGCAGAGGGACGGCCGGCTACAGGACACCAGGCACGGGCACAGACAAGAGGCCGAGGCGGGAGAGGAGCGGCTCGGGGAGGAGAGAGTGGCCGAGGAAGGCAACGCTGGAGCGGGGAGAGGATTGGCGCCAACGGCCTGCCGCTCCGGTGTGTGCGTGAGCGTGCGTGTGTCCGTGCTTGGGTGCGTGAGCGTGATTGTGTGTGTGCGTAAGCGTGTCCGTGGAGGGGTGGGGAGGGGGCGGGGGGGTTCCTGGGCTTTTTCTTCTTCCAATACTTTCCAGTTGGTTTGAGGTAGTGCTGCCACCTCTGGCCGATTCAATGAACTTGTATCTACCTCCACCTCTGCTGTTGTGACCCGTCCTGCTCCACCCAGAGTCTACTCCACCTCTGCTGCTGTGACCATGGATCTATAATAATGGGCTGTGACCCGCCCTGCTCCACCCAGAGACTACCCCACCTCTGCTGCTGTGACCATGGATCTATAATAATGGGCTACTGTGACCCGTCCTGCTCCACAAAGAGTTTACTCCACCTCTGCTGCTGTGACCATGGATCTATAATAATGGGCTGTGACCCGTCCTGCTCCACCCAGAGTCTACTCCACCTCTGCTGCTGTGACCATGGATCTATAATAATGGGCTACTGTGACCCGTCCTGCTCCACAAAGAGTTTACTCCACCTCTGCTGCTGTGACCATGGATCTATAATAATGGGCTGTGACCCGTCCTGCTCCACCCAGAGTCTACTCCACCTCTGCTGCTGTGACCATGGATCTATAATAATGGGCTACTGTGACCCGTCCTGCTCCACAAAGAGTTTACTCCACCTCTGCTGCTGTGACCATGAATCTATAATAATGGGCTGTGACCCGTCCTGCTCCACCCAGAGTCTTCTCCACCTCTGCTGCTGTGACCATGGATCTATAATAATGGGCTGTGACCCGTCCTGCTCCACCCAGAGTCTACTCCACCTCTGCTGCTGTGACCATGGATCTATAATAATGGGCTGTGACCCGTCCTGCTCCACCCAGAGTCTACTCCACCTCTGCTGCTGTGACCATGGATCTATAATAATGGGCTGTGACCCGCCCTGCTCCACCCAGAGACTACCCCACCTCTGCTGCTGTGACCATGGATCTATAATAATGGGCTACTGTGACCCGTCCTGCTCCACAAAGAGTTTACTCCACCTCTGCTGCTGTGACCATGGATCTATAATAATGGGCTGTGACCCGTCCTGCTCCACCCAGAGTCTACTCCACCTCTGCTGCTGTGACCATGGATCTATAATAATGGGCTACTGTGACCCGTCCTGCTCCACAAAGAGTTTACTCCACCTCTGCTGCTGTAACCATGGATCTATAATAATGGGCTGTGACCCGTCCTGCTCCACCCAGAGTCTTCTCCACCTCTGCTGCTGTGACCATGGATCTATAATAATGGGCTGTGACCCGTCCTGCTCCACCCAGAGTCTACTCCACCTCTGCTGCTGTGACCATGGATCTATAATAATGGGCTGTGACCCGTCCTGCTCCACCCAGTGTCTACTCCACCTCTGCTGCTGTGACCATGGATCTATAATAATGGGCTGTGACCCGTCCTGCTCCACCCAGAGTCTACTCCACCTCTGCTGCTGTGACCATGGATCTATAATAAAATGGGCTGTGACGTGTGACCCGTCCTGCTCCACCCAGAGTCAACTCCACCTCTGCTGCTGTGACCTGAAGGGCTGCTGCTGATTATTACTATTGTTAGCTTTTTTTGAATGATCAATTGAATTTCTCCTACGGGATCAATGAAGTATCTATCTATCTATTTAGGATCACATAATGTTGTTGCTCGATTGCTTTAAGAAAGGCTTAATGTTTGAAAAATATCACAAGAAAATAACTTTGAATGACGAGAAAGACAGTACTTTAACCGTTTCTTTAACCGCCAGCACCATAACTCCTTATGGCTAAACAAAGCGTTAGTTTGAATCAATGAAAGATGAGGGTCTAGACCAGGCGACCATCTTCAGAGGCCCCTGGATCTAAATCTTTGAATACATCTCTCTATCCATACACATGTCAAATTCTGTTGATTTGTCAAAAAACACAAATATGTAAAAAAGAAGAATAGATAATAGATAAGAAAATGAGAAGAGACTACTTTTATACTTCTGGCCCCAATCAGATCTTATGCTTTTATATTTAAGCCTTTGACCAAAATGAGTTTGACACCCCTGGTCTAGATGTAACAAAAGGCACCTGTAGTATGAGATGTATTGTTCCTTTAGCTGTTTAATCATCTTATCTAAAACTAGAATAGTTTTGTTTAATGACAGTTATGATATGCGGGACATTTATTAACATGTATGGACATTGGTCATCCCGGCCCTTTATGGACAAATGTGTCAAACTGTCTGTCCTCCGAGCTGACTTTGTTACAATACAATACAATACAATTTATTCTTGTATAGTCCTAAATCATAACAGTCTCAATCTCAGAGGACTTAACAAAACCATTGAAATCACCAAAGAATCAACAGTTAAGACACAAAAAGAAAGTAGAACACATGTTGATAAATGTCCATACATGTTGTAGAGTGTTACAGTGTAGTGTTGTGATTCATGGCAATACAAAAATAAATTGAATTTGTCTTGTCACTGCCTAACCAAGAGGGACACATAGACCTAAGAAAGCAGCTGCACTCGGCATTGTACTTCAGATCTACTTTGCAACGAAAAGGTTCACAGTCAAATAAACCAAATGTAGTTAATGTAATGGTGGAAGGTTTAAGAATGACATTTGGGTTCCCATCAATTTTCAAACACTAGACAGCATGTGACTTCATGACTCGCACACCAATGATTCCGTGTGTTACGGCGACATCTATCGGTGGCCACTGCACAACGCAGGCTCTGTGTCTGCAGAATCATACGCTTGGATTGAGCAGTCGCAACCTTTTCATTTCAGACTTCACATTACTCGGCTGAAAAAATACACACTAAATTAAACATACACACTAGATTATTCCAGAGAGCTTACTTGAATGTTCAAAAATTAATAAATGGTCATTGTAATGTTACATGGTAGCGTGGCCGAGCGGTCTAAGGCGCTGGATTAAGGCTCCAGTCTCTTCGGGGGCGTGGGTTCGAATCCCACCGCTGCCAATTCTTTATTCTTTTCTTTCACTTTTTAATCACGACGGTTTTTAAGCCATTTCACACTGCCGAACTGTTCAAAATATATTCGTTTTGCACTGCAGTGGGAGCAGATTAAAGTGCAAAATGCCAGCAAACTACCAAGTAAGGGTGGGAAAGTTCCAAATGGCTGGATCATGTCAAAATACAAGCATAAGACAGTGTATAATATCAACGTGCACAACAGGCTGTGTTAGTGATGAGGGAAGTTCATGGTACCTTAAAAAGGGAAATGGGGGACTTCCGGTAGGGTGAGGAGAGTGGCAGCATCATTTTTTTGGTCCCCTGACGGTCCGCAAAACTCCTGATAAAATACTTCTTAAATGTAGAAAGAACTTTACTAGTATAAGAGAAAAATAACAGCAAATTCAAAAGGCACCGCTTAAGAGGACGACTGTTTACCCATTGAGGCTGATGCTGCTAACAAGCTAACAGAAAACAAGGTCAAGGAAGCTATCCAAGCTTATATCTTTGCAGAGCTGAAATATGTCAATAAGATGGACACAATAAAGAGCAAAGTGAGCAGATATTGGAAAGAAATAGTTAATCTGTAAGTGTTACTACAGATTTGAATGGTGTGACACAGTTGGGGAAGCTGAGCAAAGAGTCGCTGACATGGACTAGTTCAATGCAGAAGTCAAAGATGCCCTTGAACATGTTTAATCTCACGCTATGTCCTTCCCTCACTCGTGAACAAGACCCTGAGATACCTGAATATCTTCCACCTGAGGAAGAACCTCTCCATCCACCTGGAGAGGGCAAGGCATCTGTTAGGATTTAAGCAGACAGAGACGGATCGTGGTGCGCCAAACTCTGGAAGTTTATTTAAGTTTCTCTCAAGTTCCACTGGTTTACTTTGTTTCTTTCTCTCAGACAGAATAAAGGCAGTACACAGTTTATATAGTCATTGTCACGTCACACATCGAAAGACATACGTGTCACAAAGAGACAGTCAAATCATAGTCATAACATGGAGTCCTTGTAGAGTCCTTGTACAGTCCTGCACGTAGGCCATATTGCTATCTAATACTAACACACCTTTTTCTGGTTGAGCACCATGGCCTCAGATTTGGAGCTGATTCTCATCCCAGCCGCTTCACACTCTATGCAAACTGTCCCAGTGCATCCTGAAGGTCCTGGCTCGTTGGAGCCAACAGGACAAAATTGTCTGTAAATAGCATCTTAGCATGCAAAAGCCATGGCTCGTCAAACCTCTGAAGCAGTGCAGGGCAGGGCCTAGTTAGTGCTGTGATGGGAGACCTCTTGGAATACCAGATGCCACAGTGGGGCAGCTGCGACTGTAAAGTGCCAAACTGCCGTTGTGTCCTTAGGCAAACCACGTCACCCACATTGCCTAGGGACTGATGCCACAGACTGGTTGCCTCACTTCTGTCAATGTGTTCCAGGGCAGCTGTGGCTACAGTAGCAGATTATCACCACTATGTACGGAATGAATGATAAATTACATGCAAAGAGTCTTTGAGTGTAATAATAGATGCTATATTATTATTATTAATCATTATTATTATTAAATCCTTTGGTCCCCAAACCTGACAACCTCCGGCCCCTGGTTGCACCTAGAATTCTGTCCATAAAGACTGTGAACAGAACCGTTGACAAAGGGCAGCCTTGGCGGAGGTCAACATGCATCGGGAACAGACTTACTGCTGGCCCCGGAGAACCCCCCAAAAGGACCCCCCCGGGAACACGGTCGAACATCCTTGATACCATCGACATCCAGCCTTGGGTGTCCTGGTGCCACGTGCACTGGTGGACACCCTTGTGCTCGAACATGGTGTTCGTGATGGACAAACTGTGACTAGCACAGAAGTA